GTTTGTATGTTTGAAACAAAGGGATAATTGTAAATGGAGTGAGTGTGCAAATGTGGGTCATTTCTTTCAGTAATGCCATATACTTTATAATATGCTTAATTAATTCCCTATGTAAAACACTTGGGGCATATCCCAGAGCGTTAGCAAGCATCCAAAGAATCTACTCTCAATTTCTGAGGAGCATAAAATGTTTAACTTGGTGGTGCGGGTGAGTCTCACTCTTTTATATGTGATCACTTTCATCTGTGGTGAGTGTGAAACTCCTGTAACCCTTCTATCAAGTGGTATCGACAGAAACAAGGGCTGGGTTCAATATCTAGTGGTTCCTCTTAACGTTACAAAACAGACCTGGCTTTTGAACCTCCACCCAGAAATCTGGGAAAACCAAACACCACCACTAGGTGCCTCTAAGAGGCAATTCTTGCCTACTCGCAAGTACTGAGTCTGTGTATAATAAAAGAAAACTTATTAAAAGGGAGAAGGAACTCAGCATTAATTTGGGAAAACACCATAACAATGTTTCAAAAGTATGCAAACCACGAGTTCACACCCACCCCACAGTATCTTGGGCAGTAGTCCTTTGCCTCTGTTTTCCATCTTGTGGTGTTGAAGTCTGATGGGTGAATGATCCTTTAACACACCACTCCCCTTTTCCTCTGCTGCACCCACTCACAGTTGGTTGTTTGAAGTAAAAATCCCAAAATTCAGGGTTTGTTCACAGGGGTTCACCTCCCTGAAAGGGGGTTGAGCAATGTTACTTCTTCCTGCTGTTGTTGTCTCTGCCATCTTTGCTGCTGCTCACCACTGTCTCTGTCATCGCGTGCTGCTGCTCTCTGCTTGCCACTTGCTACTGCCTCTAGCAGCAATGCAGTGTTCTGAGGTTCCACCACTTAGCCAGCTCTTAGTGATTTCACCAAGTAGCGAGGAAACTCACTACTGCTGTATCCTCTGCATTGTTTTTCGTTGCACACTGTCCCCTTCTACCCACTCATCAGTGATTTCAGTTCTAGTGATCCCTGAGCAGACACAAGGACTCTATTTGACTCTGATCAGTTCTGTCTTTAAATGCCGGAAGTACAGGTCTGTCGCATCTTACGCACATTTAACATGCACGATTTCAACTTTACGCGGTCAGCAAAAAAAAAAAAAGAGAGAAAAACCACAATTTTAATACTATACTTGTAGTGCGGGCGATTTCGCCCGCCATTGAACTCAATGGGGTTTTGGCTATACGCGGTTTTCGCTTTACGCGCTAACCGTGGAACGGAACCCCCGCGTAAGATGAGACAGACCTGTAAAGGACACTTTTTAAACAGAGTCCATACCCTCAAGTAGTAACATCTGTCCCCAGCCACTCTGACTTTCACTTGGATTTGGCATCACTCCCCCCTACTTAGCAAGTGAGGTTAAGTTAGGGTGATTCCTCAATTAGGGCATGTTAAGTATACTTCTGCTGCCCATTAGAGATAATAATATTTAATTACCCCTTTGTTCAAGACTAAAGTGAATTTTAACCCAAGACAGCCAAAATTGATCACTTTGGGAAAGCAGGTCTGTCTGCTGATCACCTTGGCACAGTAAATGTGTCTATGCAAATACTGTCTGCTCCTGAGGTCTTTTCCCCCAATTCATTAATAGATGGCATGGGAGAGTTCATTCAGACCATGGATTACACTCCCTTTCCACAATCTAAATGCATTTGCCCTGCGTTTGATCAGGAGAGCAGTGATGGCCAGCCACATTTCAGGGGACACTGAGGGAAAAGAGTTCTATACTCTCAGAACCTAGTAAATACTGCTCCCCAAAAAAGCCTAACTTGACCTTGCAAATAGTAATTATGTCATTGAATAAAATAGCCTCTCATCTCTGTACCAAATGTGTGAAACAAATACTAAAATTGTTTCTGGATAACAAAATAATGACACAGAGACCTGAGAAAGATGATTGTTATTTTTTTCATAGTTGCACATTGGGACCCCATTGTACTAAACATTGTTTATTACATAGTTAGAGACAGTCCCTGCCTCAAAGTGCTTACAATCTAAACAGACAAGATAAACGAAGAGTGGGAGAAAGGAATTACTTTTTCCCCAATTTACAGATAGGACAAGTCACTGAGTCTGTGCCTTAGTTCCCTAAGTCACAGAGAGGGTCGGTCCAATGCCTTGACCAAAAGACCATCCTTCCTCTCCCAGATTTATAATATCAAGGTTTAGGTTTTGTTTCTTTATGAATAAATTGTTTTTGCAAGGTCTGATGTCTTCTGAAATCCTGTACATTTCCTGCTGTCTCCTCTAAAGTCTTGTTGCTTCCTCAATCCAATGTATCTCATTTGGACTTTGTCTTGCTATTCTGCATTAATCTGTTTCCTTTAGGGCAGATTGTTCTTTCCAAGCTCAAATTATCCTTGATATGCTGAGGAAATTCAGATTTATTAGACTTTCTGTCTGATTTTGGGGGTATGGTGGTGATGCTTTGGCAAGGAGAATGGCAACATATCTTAAATATAGAGAAATCCAAAGCCACCTGAATTGGTCTATGATGTCATTGATTATCATTCCTTTTGACACAGTTTCCTTTTATGGACCATGATTATTCCTTCAACAATTGCTAAGAGGTTTATTTGGATGGTGGGATATCCTTTACCTTAGTTTATCTTGTTAGGAGTAAGTGCGGTCTGTAGTGAAGCACTGATTTTTATTGCTGAAAGGGTAGTGGTGGAGTTCAGTGCTAGAATCTCTAGATTGGCAGCAGCTAGCTTCTTCAACTGAACTTATTTCTTAGGGTTCACTTATTTATTTTGTCCTTTGGTGACGGGCTGCCATCTGCCTTGACTTTCCCACTGACAGCAATAGCAGTTCTGTTTGTGGATCCATGTTCAGCATGCTGTAGCTTTATTAGTCAAATGTGCTGGCCAGAAATAGAATAGAATTGTAGAAATGTAGGGCAGGAAGAGACCTCAAGAGGTTATCAAGTCCAACCCCATGGACCAAATATACCCAGACCATCCCTTCCAGGTGTTTCTCCAATCTATTCTTAAAAACCTCCAATGACGGGGATTCCACAACTTCCCTTGGAAGCCTGTTCCAGAGTTTAGCTACCCTTATAGTTAGAATGTTTTTCCTAATATTAAATCTAAATCTCCCTTGCTGCACATTGACTCTTTTTCTTCTTGTCCTACCTTGGATATGGAGAACAATTGATCACCGTTCTCTTTATAATAGCCCTTAATGTATTTGAAGACTTTTATGAAGTTCCCCATTCAGTCTTCTTTTCTCAAGACTAAACAAGCCCAGTTTTTTTAGCCTTTTCTCATAGGTCAGGTATTCTAAACATTTTTATCATTTTTGATGTTCTCCTCTGGTCTGTCTCCAATTTATCCACCTCTTTCATAAAGTGTGGTGCCCAGAATTGGACATGATACTCCAGCTGAGGCCTCACCAGTGTTGAGTAAAGTGGGACAATTACCTCCTGAATCTTGCACAAGACATTCCTGTTAATACACTCCAGAATGTAATAAGTAATGTTAATGTACGATGTAGTATGTTAACATTTTATAATATCATTGCCTTAATATATATATATATATATATTTAAATACACCCCAGAAGGATATTAGCCTTTCTTTCAACTACATCACATTGTTGACATGTAGCATAGAACCAGGCAAGGTCACGGTGGTGTTATGAGTCACTTGAAAAAGTAAAATAAGAAAATTGTCCCATTGTACTCACTCTGTTCAGTTCTCCTATTAAGAACATAAGAAGTGTTCTTCCTTTCTGATCACTGCTGGGTCCCAAGATGTGTTAACACCAACCAGAGAATCTGGCCCTGTATGATAAGGAAAGGATGTGCTCTTCAAATGTCTGCAGAGATGGTCTCTAGTGCACATATGACCTTACTTGTGTGTACCTGCTCTATTGGGTCACCTCTTTCCCTTTACCCTGCTCCTGGAAGTTGCACACCATTATGATGGGCTTTTTTTTTTAACATCAATTTAAACCTAATTTTAAGAACAGGGTAAAGATCTTAAACCAGGGGTTCTCAAACTGGGAGTCGGGACCCCTCAGGGGGTTGCAAGGTTATTACATGGGGGGTCGCGAGCTGTCAGCCTCCACCCCAAGCCCTGCTTTGCCTCCAGCATTTATAATGATGTTAAATATATAAAAAAGTGTTTTTAATTTATAAGGGGGGTTGCACTCAGAGACTTGCTATGTGAAAGGGGTCACCAGTACAAAAGTTTGAGACCACTGTCTTAAACTGTTGGAAGATTTCACTGCTTAGTTCTTGAACCTGATTAGCTAGAATTCGGGGAGTTCAGGTCAGCAGAAGATGCATAGGCAGGTCAGATACTGCTTTGCTTTGGGTGATGGAGGAAAGGAGAGAGGGCTTCATGTTGTGATACTGACATAACTATACCTCTCTTAAAGCTTGCCTTATAACTCTAAAATGTCTGTGTTTTGCATTTTCTACTGACCACGCGCGCATATACACACACAAAGTTACACACAGATTTAGTGGGTGTCTCTTCCCTTCATCTTTAGATGGGGTGGTAATTTGTTTGTATCAGTTTTGCTGCTGAGGCTTTGACATGAATAAACCATGATAATACTTAGTCCTGCCTTGAGTGCAGGGGACTGGACTGGAGGACTGGACTGGACTGGACTTGGGGGGAGGGATAGCTCAGTGGTTTGAGTATTGGCCTCCTAAACCCAGGGTGGTGAGCTCAATCCTTGAGGGGGCCATTTAAGGATCTGGGGAAAACAAACAAACAAAAACCACTAACTGTCAGGGACAGTACTTGGTCCTGCTAGTGAAGGCAGGGGACTGGACTCAAGGTCCCTTCTAGCTCTATGAGATAGGCATATCTCCATATATGATTATTATTATATTATGACCTCTCAAGGCACCTTCCAATTCTATGATTCTATGTTCTCCCCTGTAAGCACAAAGACTCTTTCAAGTCCTGTTTCTTCCCCACCTCGTGGTCTGTTTTCTAGGTGCCTTCAGGGCTTCGTGGACAAGCACATTTAAAAGTCTGGGGAAACCGGCACCTAACGGAGGAAGGTTACATCTTTCATAACTATACCACAGTAACCATAGATAGCAAAGGGTCATCGGTGTTCATCCAGACTGACAAGCCTGTCTATAAACCCAAGCAGAAAGGTAAAGTAGCCTCTGAGAACCTCACAGTCTCCACTTTTGCATGCAAAAACTTTAATACTTTAAGACCAGAACTCCTTTTAAGAATAATCCCTGAGACCACAACTCTTGTTGAGTACCAGCTCTGATGATTAATGAATTTTCCCTTTTCTCCCTTTATAGTGCTGATAAACCTGTTTATGGTCACTTCTGACCTGCGACCGATCAATGAGAAGGTAAGTGAATAGCTTTCCTTCCCATTGTAAAATGTCTGAAGTGTTCAGCATTTCTTGTTTATCACATACATACATGGAGTTACACAGCAATGTAGTGAGTGGCTGTTCCCTTCATCTTCAATTGCTCTGGTATCTCCTACTATGGGGTGTTATAATTAATGTGTTTGCTAGGATGTTGTAGTTTTAAGTTTAGTTTCTGAATTTGGCCACATTGTAGCCAAAGGGTAGGAGTAAGTGATAATCTATAATTGCTTTGTGTAGGTGTAATACTATAGTGAAATAAAACATAATTAGGCCAAAGCAGCTGTGGAGGAGGAGTGTTTGAGGGAATAGCACTTTGACACTGATATTACGGGAGCACCCAGAGGCCAGGATCAGTCACTTAACCAGAGGTCTGAAGGGCCAGTTTTCAAGTCAGATGTTTGAGTGAAATGGTTGTTTGACCAAACTGCTCTTTCACATGAGTGGATATTACGTGTCCCTTCTACACCAACATGCAGGGGCCAGAAGCTCTGTGGCATACCCTGCTTATGCCAGACTCACATCTTCTCACGAGATAGAAAAATATGGCTTTGTCTCATGGGTGTTTTTATTCTTTGTTTCTTTCAGATTGAAGCCTACATAGTCGTGAGTATCCACCATTTAGCAAGTGGCATCATTACACAGGGTCACTGAGGCCTCTCTGAAGGGAGCAGGTCACAAGTTCATGCTCTGCCAAATCTATCATCACCATCTCTGCTTGGAGTTCAGAAATGTTTTTCCATAAATGCCTCCTCAAGGGAAAACTGAACAAATTGGTTGCATCCACTGGGGTTTATGAATATAACAACCTTACCCATCTCTCTCATTTTCCTTGTTCAGTTACATTCCTATGCTGCACCTGGCTGGGGTAATATGATTATCTTTGCACCCAGACTTATGGTAATGGACGCATTTGAAATGCATGGAGATGGAGAGATCTTGCTAGATTACTCATATACCTCTCTCCCTTTTTTCTTTGTTTTGAGGGGAATGAGGGACCCTTTCTTTGACCATCCTCTTTTAACTAATTTATTTATTTGACAAGAAATGGAAGAGCTGACCCCATGGTGTGACTGACTGGCTTTAGTACTGACACAAAATATCCCAAGCAATGGATTATTATTGTTTTTTAGAAGATTGATGCTAATTATTTGTGTGAAAGTGAAATTGTTTGTTGCAGGCTGACAGTTAAAAGAACTAGTGAAATTTACCTTTTTTGTGATAATGTCTCTTGTCCTAAACCATTTTTTAGGATCCTCGGGGGTCTCGGATGATAGAATGGAGCAATCTGAAGCCATTTTGTTGTGGTAAATTTCTGCCTGTTACAGTTTAGCATAACTTTATTTTCCTCTGCTAGCTAACATTAATTTCTGCCTTTTGGGGTTTTTTATTGAAATAAACCTTTACAGAGATTGTCTGATATTCAGAGAGGGCTCACAGTGTCTTTTCTTCTCTCCTAGGTATTGTAAATATGAGTTTCCCTTTGTCTGATCAGCCAGTATTTGGCGAGTGGTTTATCTTTGCTGAAATGCAAGGGCATGCATACAACAAATCCTTTGAAGTTCAGAAATATGGTGAGTTATTGCCTGCAAGTCAACTTTGATCATAATCCCAAAAATATTTAGAATACTGACACTATGAAATATTTTTGATTTGAGTGAAATAATCAAGAAATGATGTATCAAAAATTCCAGTAGAAAAAATTCCTGTCAGATGTAACATGTGGCAGGAAATGGACCCTTGAAACTTAACCCAACTCTTAGTTGATATCATCTTTTATAATATAAAGGGGTTTATATTCATCATCACGTGGCACAATCCATGTATATAGGTAACAAAGACTTCACTTTATTTTGGAAAAACTGTTAAAGTTATTTTAAGTCAGTCACTAAGTTTTTTCCTTCCTTCACCCATCTTGGACACTCAGAATTCCTAATCATCGCCCCTCTCTTATTTTTGCTCTTAAGGCCCCCTGCCCTATCTCAAAGTCCCTCTGGCTGGTGAGAAATGGGGATTGTTCCCCCCAGGTCCCCATGTGCAATATCTGACCCTGTCCACTGAGGTATTTATACTGTGCTCATCTTCAGACCTGTTCCTGAAATGGCGGTGGGAGGTACTGCAGGTAATGCAAGGTACTTCTGCCCCTGGCTCCAAGAAGCGAAACACTGTGCCTGCCACCCAGCCCCTAAATGAAGTTTTGGGTTCAGTTCCGTAGCTCGGATCCTCTATTTGGGAACATGATGTATGGATGTGGGGCAGCTGATCACTAACTCGTTCTAGGGAATGGTTACTTAATAGCACCCTGCTAGTAGGATTCTGGTTTGATGGATCAGCTGATATTGATATGTTGCTTTCGTTCTCTATTCAAGGCTGTGCGTCTTCACCTTGCCTGCAGTGCTCCAACCACAAGAAGGGATCTTGTCAGAGATATATAGCTATTAGTACATCCTGGATTCTAAGATGTTTGTAAAACACCTCTTCTCTTTTTCGCTCCATTTTAGTGTTACCAAAATTTGAGCTGTTGATTGATCCACCTCTCTATATCCGAGATCTTGCGACTTGTGAAAAGGGAACTGTCCATGCCAGGTAGGGGATATGTTACAGATACAGTCCCATATTTTATAGGTTTAAGTGTAGCTGTGGGATAATGTAATCATCTAAGCTCAGCGGGAGCATGTGTCTCATCCCCCAAATGTTCCAGCATGACTTCAGAGCATTGTCAGATGATTTTCCTGTCACTGCACATTTGAATGTGATGCTCAGGTACCCGTGGTCTCCTGGCTTCCGTAATAAAGTTTCTAATTCCTCCATTGCATACACATCTCTGATTGTATGCTGTACTGTGTGTTGAGTGAATCCTTCATTCATAAGGTCTCTGGAGGAAGAGGAAGCTGCTCTAATGTTTGGCTTAGCACCATAGCAATTCTTCATCATGCTAAGGTCCACAGATCCATTACAATGGGTACTTCAGCCTTCTTGCAGTTTGGGGGCAAAACCAGACCAGTCTGTCACTGCCAGCACAGGAATGCCTCACCTCCTGAAGTTCCTTGCAGTCTTATCTGCTTCCCCAGCCACTGGTGGCTTATCCATCCTTCCCAGCTGAAGAGCTTTTCTGAGGGAAATTCCAAACTTTATTTCAAATTTCTGACTAACGGTTAGGCTGCCAGTGACTGACGGGTCTAGTTCTGCCCTCAAACTACAAGCAGGCTGAGGTACCCATTGTAACAAATCTGTAGACCTTATTGCTCAAAGAAAGAAAATGTTCATCTAAGCACAGATAAACTTTCCTATTAAAGGGATACCTTTTCAAGTTAAATGTTGCGTGGTAGGGAAAAAAAGTCTTCATCTTTGTTGTTTAAATCATTTCATGTTTAAATTATTATAACATTGAATGCACTTTCCACCATTTCCACGGTTTGTTTATTTTTTGCATTTCACTCTGTCTAGGAGAGTGCTCCTAGACTGCTCAGTTTCACTTTCTGGTTCTCATCATTGTGCTGGCATAAGACTGCTATGTCTGAATTGCAGATGCTGGTATTTAAATTTGAAAAAGAATTGTTTCCACTGAAACTTTTAAAAGTAGCTGTCTGTTCTTCTCAGAATGAACATGAAATGTTTGTATTGGGGAGGAGACTACATGCTGACTTTTTTTTCAACAGAAAAAAGAAAATATCGAAATTAGAAGAAGATTGTGCTGAGTTTAAAAAAATACCCTAAAACAGATGGAGTCTGAGATTAATCTGACTTTCAAGTCAGATCGTCTCTGTTAGTCTGGATGCCTCTGTGTACAGAAGCCTGCGAAGCTGGAGACAGGATCTTTCTGTTTTCAGTCTAGTTTTAGTTTAGATCAACTGTTTGGAAGTTTCTAATGTAAAAACGTTCACGGAGATATTAACAATTGGCATTTAGAAATAACCTCTTGTTGCTTTTATTTTCTGAGTTCTAAGTATGCAGGAGTTGTGGATCCAGCATGGGGTTAATCAAGAAAATGGAGAGGAGCCAATCTGAGGTTTTCATTATCTTGCTTCTTCTATTTCAGATACACGTTTGGGAAACCAGTGACAGGAAAGTTAACTGTCAACATGACTATAAATGGAGTGGGGTACTACCGGCATGAAGTGGGACACCCTGTCCTCAAAACCATAGAGGTGAGGGGGATTATTAAATCAGCTGCAATAGAAAGGCCTGATCTGCACCCTTTGACGTCAATACCAAAGCTCCCTTTGATTCAGTGATGCAGAATCAGGGTCTAAATGTGTTACCTGAGCTCTACATACTAAAAATACTAGAGTATTTCACATGTTATCTGACTGTGTCAATATTTGGAGGAGGGGTGTTTAATGAGATAGTGCTAACAGAGTGCTAGGTGTTTTAGAGTACACTGATGGGGAGAAGGTGTGGGAGTGATGGAGGTTGGGGCAGTGCTGTCACAGATTATGGATGAAGAACACACAAAATATGTTGCTGGTTGTTTTTTCCCTTAGGGAATGTGTCCCCATACCCAAGGCCCTTTAAAATAAAACAAAGAAATACCCCATCGCCCCCCAAAAAAAGCAACCCAATGTTCTGTATTTGACCAGAAACACTTTTTTAACTGCACATGCTGAGTAATGTTTTCCTTCCCCGGCCTGGCTGGTAGATCGATGGCTCTGCTGTTTTCGATGTGTGTGTGAGAGACATGATGCCAGCTGATGTCCCAGAGCATTTCCGAGGCACGGTCAATATTTGGGCCACTGTGACCAGCTCTGATGGGAGCAAGCAGGTCACGTTTGATGACTCAACGCCTGTTCAGAAACAGCTGATTGACATCAAGTACACTAAGGATACTAGGAAGCAGTTCAAACCTGGCCTACCCTACAAAGGGAAGGTAAGGTAGGGGATATGGGGACACTCAGGGTGGTTGATAAAACGGCTATATAGGCAATTTATCCTAATGTGTTATACACCATGTGCTGAGATGTTCCTTTTATCTGGTGCTGAGTTTTATAACTATATGGAATTGCTAATAACATGAAATGGCTTGTTTTATTAATTAAATGACTGTTTAGGTAGAAGTCACTTACCCTGATGGGAGCCCTGCTGACGGGGTCACAATTCGAATCAAAGCTGAGTTAACTCCAAAGGATAACGTTTACACAAGTGAACTGATATCCAGAAGTGGCTTGGTGGAGTTTGAAATCCCCTCTATTCCTACAGCTGCCCAGTATGTCTGGCTGGAGGTGGGTAAAAGCTCTTTATAGGATTAATGGGCTTTAATAGAGCTAATCTTGTCAAACGTGCACTTTGTGAATTGGTGCTAAAAATGGGAAATCAGTCAGTGACCTGAAGAAGAGCTCTGTGTGAGCTTGAAAGCTTGTCTCTTTCACCAACAATAAAAGATATTACCTCACCCACCTTGTCTCTGTAGTGACACTGGGAAACTTCTTAGCTCAGACTTAAACTTTCACCTTTGAACCGTAGTGAATATTTATCCAACCCCATATTGCCGATAGAACTGATGATAATGATAATAACAGGATAGAGTTGTCTGCTCTAAGTAGATCAAATACAGCATGGCATTAAGAGTAAGCTTCAAACATCTCAGTAGAAAGTGAGTGTATTATCACAGTACTTTAAAGATAACAAAAGAGAAAGTGGGAGGGGTCAGTGTCTGGAATGGGAGTGGTGGTGAGGACTGCATGATGGGGAGGGACAGGAGCCCAGCTTTCTATGTGTGAATAACATTCAGATGCATTTTTTCTTAAGACCAAAGTGACAGCAATTGATGGGAAACCTGCAGGGGACCAATATCTGCCAAACTACTTGTCTATCAGCAGCTGGTACTCACCTAGCAAGTGCCATATCCAGCTCCAAGCACCAGACAAGCCTTTCCAGGTAGGACAGCTTCATGTTACATTATGATAACGTCTGCATTTCTTGGCTCATTCATACTTGTTGTCCTAATGAAGTATTTCCAGATATATCTGGGGGCCATAGCATATTATTGTATCCACAGCAGACCTTAAGAGGCTTCACTTTAGACACTGACCCGTCTTTAGCCATGACCTACTTCACTACTTGGTGCTGCCCTGCCTTACCTGCCCCTGAGAATGTACCATGTTTCCTAAAGTATAGGGGTGGGTGAAGAGAGTTTTGATCCCCAGTGGAGACCCACTGCACTCCAGAGCTCAGATCACAAACTAGCTCCCCACACTCTAAAGTCTGTATGAATTGGATAGTAAAAATGACAATGATATTAAGATTTTGGTTCAGATCAACAAATGCCAATTGATTTGAAGTGAAGCCAGAGTGGGATGAATTAATCATCTAATTCTCAGGTTGGAACTGTCTAGTCTCCTTGGAATTAAGAGTCTGAATCCCAGCAGTATCAATTCAGTCCTTTACCTCCCAAAGGTAAATAAATTGAGCATCTTGTAGTTTTCTATTAGAGAGGGTGGTGACTTTTGGGGGGAGACCCTAAAAACTGAGCTTCCCTTCTGTGTGTAAAAGTTTTCATGATATGTATACTAAGAGTAGATTTGTCCATAGCCAGAATTTCTCACCTTTTTTGTTGTGCTGCTCTCCACCCCCAGAAGAGGCTGCACGTCAGTGATGGGTTTGTATATATGCTTTGTAAAGTACTTTGGGATCTGGTGGTCCATATATCTGACCTACTACTATATTATCAGCAGGCTTAGTAGGCTGAGTTTCAGAGTCAATGTCGTCAAATAAGGGAGCTTTATGGTTGCACTTCATGGCAGTTTAATGGCTAATTAATCTTTTACAAGATTTCTGAGGTATGGAAAGGGGATTACGCACTACTAATCTGAACACATTGTTCTTATTATAACCTGATTAGAACTAATTCTGCTGTGGGAAAGCAGGGAATTGTGTGACCAGCTGATGTGGGAACCATTTCTTCAGCTCTGCCAGTTCTTACTGGGTGTTCCAATTAACTACATATTTTTTTCATGAACAGTTTCATCATTTTGCTCTCAGAAACTCTAAATGCCTCAAATATTTAACATCATAAGGCTCTTCTCTCTGGACCCTTCTGCATTTTCACTGCATTTAACCATTTGGTGGCTTTTCACTTCCCTGTGCCACTGTTTTGGTTTGCACCCTGTGCATGCAGTAGGGAGGTGGGACTATTAGCATTTAAGAGAGAGGCTTCTCAAAATATTTCATTGGGATTCAGGTTTGTTACTCCATTTTCAGCATTAATGGAACATGATTTTGTACCTTAAATGGGTGAGGATGGCTGGGAGCTGCAGACGGTTCTGTGTGTGGGGAAATAGGGCCTCGCGATAACACGGATTAGTTCCCAAATCCCAAAAGGAAGAAGCTTGTATTGCTGATGAAGTGCTCCTCTGCCCCACAGAAGGCACCGTCAGCCAGTGACAAGTCAGTGACTCCCAGGCCTTGAAAAGATGCTGCCTAAGACTGACCTGTCCTGTGGGGAATGGCAGTAGTGACAGCCAACCCTCAAAGAACTCCCTCCCTCATGGGAATTCCTGTCAGGACAGTAGTCCTGGGTAGGGTACAGCTTGCTCTTTTCCACCTACTGGAAGTGCAGAGACAGTGCAGGAAACAAGTGCACTGCTTTGAAACCTCTTGCAGATACTAGATGTATCTGCCTGGGAAAGGGAAGCACTCCTCATGTCTGTCTGTTTGATGTGGCTCATAGAGTCAACATCATAAATTAACTTTCTTCCCAGTTCAGATTTTCCTGATTTATTTCAGGATAGGCCTGTTGTGTTTAAATTAGCATCTGCACGTTACAGTAATCACCATGTGTAATCTCAATTAAACAGCAGAGCCCATATTACACCTCCTCCCTGCCCCTTTACTGTGAGATCTGAACCTTGTAAAGGGGTGTCTAAAATTCAACCCATTCTGACAGCTGCTCTGTGCCAAAGTCCTTATCCCTCAGGATTCCAGAGATTCCTTTATTCCTTACACTAATCCATATAGCTCCTGCACCTCATCCTCCTGTTAGACTCCCAGGGACCAAAGTGCTGCCCACAGGTGCTCCTTTGTCATGGGGGGAATACACCAGACTGTTCAGTGTGAATGTAACAGTCTCTTCAGCCTGTGAGCTCCTTGGGGTAGGAGCCATGTCTTGTGTGTGATGCTCATCCCCAACTGCAGTTCCGTGCTTTACAGATAATAAGAAGGGTCTGCAGTGTTCATTATAACAAATCTGACCTCTGGCTGATATGTCTTTTTGCTCAGGTGGGAGAGGAGGCCCAGATCGCAGTGAAGTCCACGTGTCCATGTAATTTCACTCTACATTACGAAGTTGCATCGCGAGGTAATATTGTCCTTTCAGGGCTGCAGCCTGGTAACATCACACAGCAAAGGAGCAAAAGAGCCACGTTCCCCTTTGATAAGAACATCCATGTCACTCATTTCCCAGGAACAGGTCAGTAGCTAAAATCTTAACCTAGCAACAAAAGTGCTAATCCTCCCCCTTATCTAGAATGAGGGCTTCCCTCTTAGTGAAGACAAACCTGCTTATTGTTAAGCCCCGTAGCTGTTCCTTGCTCATGCTAAAGGGTACAGAATGAATGTGTGGAAGGGTGCACGTTAAATTTTATGCACACTTTGACATATAAAGTTCATTTACTATAAATGGTAAATCTGCTCTTACCCTCATATTGCTTAGGGCATGGGATATGCTGTGCCTGGCAGGGCTGGGGTGGTAGGGATAGGACTGCTAGGCCTGGTAGCGCTCGGATGGGAGGAAGGAGACCAGGCCTGGTAGTGCTGGGGGAGAAAATGACCAGGGATGCTGGGCCTAGTAGCAATTGGAGATATGGAGGTGTGGAGGGAAAAGGATGCTGGCACTGGTAGTACGTGAGGGGAAAGAGATGCTGGGCTTGGTAATGCTCAGGGCAGGATGGGGGAAGTGTAACACTGAGGGGTTTTCAGAATGGAGAGAGGTAAATAGTGGTGTCCGCCAGGGGTCTGTACTGGGACCAGTGCTGTTCAACATATTCATAAATTATCTGGAAAAAGGGGTAAACAGTGAGGTGTCAAAATTTGCAGAGGATACAAAATTACTCAAGATAGTTAAGTCCAAAGCAGGCTGCAAAGAATTCAGAGGGATTTCACAAAACTGGGTGACTGGGCATCAAAATGGCAGATGAAATTCAGTCTTAATAAATGCAGAATAATGCACATTGGAAAATATAGACCCAACGATACATACAAAGTGATGGGGACTAAATTACCTGGTATTACTCAAGAAAGAGATCTTGGAGTTATGGATACTTCTCTGAAAACATCTGCTTAATGTGCAGCAGCAGTCAAAAAAGCTAACCATGTTAGAAACCATTAGGAAGGGGATAGTTAATAAGACAGAAAATATCATAATTCCACTATATAAATCCATGGTATGCCCCCACCTTGAATACTGCATGCATTTCTGATCACCGTATCTCAAAAAAGATATATTAGAATTGGAAAAGGTAAAGAGAAGGGCAACAAAAATTATTTAGGGGTATGAAACAGCTTCCATATGAGGAGAGACTAAAAAGACTGGGACTTTTCGGCTTGGAAAAGAAATGACTAACAGGGAATATGATAGAGGTCTATAAAATCATGAATGGTGTGGAAAAAGTGGATAAGGAAGTGTTATTTACCAGCTCACGTAACACAAGAACCAGGGGTCACCCAATGAAATTAATAGGCAGCAAGTTTAAAACAAACATAAGGAAATATTTCTTCACACAATGCACAGGCAACCTGTGGAACTCGTTACCAGGGGATGTTGTGAAGACCAAAAGTATAATTAGGTTAAAAAAAGAATTAGATAAGTTAATGGAAGATAAGTTTGTCAGTGGCTATAAGCCAAGATGCTCAGGGATGCAACCCCATGCTCTCAGTGTCCTTAGCCTGTAACTGCCAGAAGCTGGGAGTGGACAGCAGGGGATGGATCACTCAATAATCACCCTGTTCTGTTCATTCCTTCAGAAGCATCTGGCATTGACCACTGTCGGAAGACAGGATACTGGGCTAGACCACTGTCAAAAGACAGGATACTGGGCTAGATGGACCATTGGTCGGACTCAGTATGGCCGTTCTTATGGGGCAGGAGGCACAGAGAGATGTTGTGGATGTGGGAGGGGGCACAGATGAATGCTGGGCTTGGTAGCACTTGGTTGGGGAGAAAAACACTGAGCCTGGTAGTATGTTGAGATGAGACATGGACAGATGCTGGACCTGGTAGCAGATGCGGGGGCTACAAGGGAGGACACCAGGTCTGGTAGTACTCGTGGGTGGGGGACACTGCCTTTGACAAATAACTATGTGCTTTGTACAATTTGTCATTTAGCACCTACCAACCCCCCTGCAACGGAGGTTGAAGTCTGCATGACCTTCCTCCATTTCATGGTGGCTCACAGCATGGCTCCTCTGGGCCGTCTCTTGGTGTATTACGTCAGGGAGAATGGAGAAGGGGTCACAGACAGTCTGCAATTCACTGTCAAGTCCTCCTTTGAAAACCAGGTATCAGCAGCACTGCCAGTGGAGCGGAGAGGATGGCCTCTCTTGTTACTCTTTGTAGTTTTGTCATCTGAACATTGTGTGAGATAATGAGGGTTTTATTTAAATACCTAGGTTTCAGTGGCACTTTCAGCAAATGAGACAAGGCCTGGTGATGTTGTGAACCTCAAGATTAAAGCCGCGAAGGGAAGCTGTGTCTGCATTGCCACGGTGGATAAGAGCGTCTACCTTCTCAAGACAGGTTTTCAGCTGACGTCCACCCAGGTGAGATAGAGCTCAAGGCTCTGTCTCGTTCTTTCCTGGCACTCCCACCTGTCCACTCAATGAACAGGGAGCTGCAGTGAAGCACAGTGTACTTAGGGATGTGATGGCAACTTCTCTCCTCTCTGTTCAGGTTTTCCAGGAGCTGGCAGAGTATGATGTTTCTGATGCCTTTGGGGCTCCCAAGGAAGAAGGGCATTTCTGGTGGCCAGGCATGTCCTCACGCAGACGCCGCCGCTCCTCTGTCTTTCCCTGGCACTGGGATATCACCAAAGATGCCCGGTTTGCATTTACAGTAAGAAGCATCCATCTGTGCTCTTGCTCTGACTTCTCTGTCAGCTGTCTGTGTGATACGTTCACATTGTTAAAGAACAACCACCTCCATTTGCATAAGACTGTTTGGCATCTTAGGCCAGACTTTCAAAAGAGCTCAGTACATTAGGTCTGGGCCACAAGTGTCATAATGGGACCTGTTGAGTGCTGATCTTTTTTTAAATCTGACCCACAGAGAGTATAGCAATGAGTGCTATGTATATAGATGCTTAGAGAGAGAGCGGCGGTAACAATTAGCAGAACTTCCTGCTCTGTAAAGGAGAGTCTTTTTAGGAAAAAATTTCCTGAAGTTTGCTAATGTTTGAATTAGAAAAGGAATGAAGGTGCAGACCTATGGGTATCTTCTAACTAAGTCTTTTAAGATAAGCTTGCTCACGATAAGCACTAATCAGTATGAGGTCTATTGGGGCCTGTTCTCCTGCTGACTTAGAGTGATGGCATAATGATTCCCTACATTAATTCTGGTGGGAAATGTACATGCCCCTTGACATAATGAGATGTGATCCTGTTCATAAAAACATGCCTGACTGTGCTACTCTGCTCACTAAAGAACAAGAAGAGAGAAATTAAATTATAATAAATCCTACCCGTCTCCAGACAGGGGAGTCAGGTCTTGGTGTAAACCATTCACAGAGATAATCTAAATTTTGTAAGGGGCTCCACTATCAGCCTCATGGGTTCCCATTTCTGCCGTCCCTATTATGGCTGCACATAGTCTCATCCTTGCCTATATCTCTGCTCTCATTCCTTTACCTCCAGGGCTGCTGGAACAATGTGTATAGTGGGGGTGCTGAAAGCCATTGAACCAAACTGTAAACCCTGTATATGATGGAAATTACTTCAAACCAACACCCCTAGTTTTCAGCATCTATGTAGCTGCCTCAGGGCCAGCGCAACCCATTAGGCGACCTAGGCGGTCGCCTAGGGTGCTACAATTTGGGGGGCGGCAACCGCGGCGGTATTTCGGCGGCGGGACCTTCGCCCGCCTCTGTGGGGGACGGCATTTCGGGGCAGGACCTTCCACCGCCTAGGGCGGCAGAAAAGCTGGCGGCGCTCCTGACCTCCCTCCTCCAAATCCTGCTCCTTGCTCCCTGTGGTCATCCTAACTCTCTTGGCTTCCTGCTCCTTTTGTCTCCTTTGCACATCCTTGGTTTAATGTCTTTTGTTGTGCTATCCTTACCCTCAACAGTCTCCTGCCCTATCCACCAACACGTTTTCCCTTTCTTACTCACCAACTCATTTCTAATCCTTTCTTTACACCTGCTTCTGGAGGAATCCACTCTTGTTTTTCTTTCCCTGAACTGTTCTTTCTTGTCTTCCTCTCCTTTTTCCTCTCCAGGGTGTATGGTCTTGGGGTAGGGCCCATGTACGTGCTTGTAAATTGCTGTGTATGCTTATGGAGCTATATAAATTATTTTAAATAATAATCAGATCTAAAAGAGAACAAAGCATGTGTTCCCTTTGGTGCCTGGACACAGGAGCAGATGTATCTCAAGGTCACAGCCGCAGGGTCACATGCTGGTTATCTTAAAAATAAATGCACAAAAGTAAGTAGAGCTGAAAGACAATTTTCTCATCTCCTTTATGTTTTTTATTGTAAAACTATGTGGGCAGCTTCTATTCTGCCTGGTGTCCCTATTGGAACTGGGTTTGTGATAGCTGGGATGAGAGTCTCCGACTCCTGTTAACTAAAGGGGTGGGGTAGAGACAGAACAATTCGGGAGTTTTTAAACTCCTGCTATGACCAGTGATTAAACCTTCTAGAGCAGAAAGGAACTATAGATGTATGTATATCTCCTAATATGTGTATGTATATATATATAAAACCTAGCCATGTTTAATTTTTCACCTACAGTTACTTGAAAATTATACATACAACTCCTTCTGTTAGATATTTGTGAAATGCATTTTCCAAACATTCCCAGAACTCTCTGGGGAGTCTGCTTCCCTCCATGTCCATCCCCTCCCTCCTCCCAAAAAAGTTGCGAGCCATTTTTATTTTCCATAAACATTAAAAAAAAATTCAAATTAGTTTTCCTCTATAAATACTTTGGACAAGCTGATGCCATTTGGGAAAGTTCACCGTTGTGCATGCTGAATGTTTTTTTATTGTTGGGTTGTTGTTTTTTGTTGTTGTCTAGGAAACTGGTTTGGTTGTGATGACTGATTTAGTCAGTCTAAACCACAGACAGAATGGAGGCATGTATACAGATGAGGCCGTGCCAGCCTTTCAGCCTCACACTGGGACACTGGTAGCTACCATGCATTCTAAGATTGTACCCAGGTAACATTGTATAAGGTTTTGTGTGTGTTTGTAATTCACACTGAGTACAGTATTTCTCACAGCTCTGTTTTATCAGGAAACTCCTCAGGTTAGTCAAAGGGAGAGAAAATTGTGAGAGTGTCCAGAAAGAACTAACAGAACTAGGTAACTGGACAACATAGTGGTAGATGGACTTCAGCATAGACCCGTACAATGTAATGCACCTTGGAAAGACCTGTTAAACTCCTTGCACACACTGACTGGCTCTGCATTAATTGTCGCTTCTTAGGAAAGACAACTCAACATCATTCTGGACAGTGAGGACAGATAACAGCTCGGTATGCAGTGGGTAGTTAAAGCAAGCGAGATGCCAGACTGTATGAAGAAGGGATGAGGGAGTAATATGGAAAGTATTATAATGCTGTAAATTGACAGTATGTCCTCTTGGATGTTGCACTAAGTGCTGATCCCCCTCATATCAAAATAGCTTCAGGAGACTCAGAAAACATCCAGAGGATGATAATGGAAGCAGTTAGAGGCATCAGGGGAAGGAAGAAAGAAGGGGACTGTACAGTGCGAGGATGCAGAGACAAGGACTAGTCTATGTGGCAAGGGAACGGCTAGAGGAGATATGGGAGTGGAATATAAAATAGTAACTACTACAAAATAGGCCAGTTCGGGGAAGCCTGTCTGCCCCCTTTCCATAACCTAAGAAAAAGAGGATGATCGTTGACATTAAAAGATACATGTTATTTGTCTTCTTTCAGCCTCTTTGCCTGGGGATTGGGGTAATTGTACGAAAGAACTCACAATTTATTCTGAGCTAATGGTTTTATGTATTTTATTCTTATACCCAGAATGTTTTGATAGGTACATTGTTATATTTGAAAAGAAATAAATGTGTGTGTGTGTGTACACATAAATATCTATATGTATTTCCAAATATAACAATGTACCTATATATAATATATATGGAAGACCCAGATTCAATTCCCTGCTTCTCCACAGACTTCATGTGTAGCCTTGGGTATATCATTTATCCTCTCTGTTCCTCACTTCCCATCTGTGAAATGGGGATTCACAGGGGAATTGTGGGGATAAATACATTACAGATTGTGAAGCACTTTGAGATCTACTGATGAAAAGTGCTGTATAAAGAGAGAAGTATTATTTATTATTACTTATTATTTTAAATAATATCCTACTAGTGGACCCTTGGTTTGTCTAATTGTGGTGATTACCATGCTCCTGGGTCAAGCTATGAGCTGTATTCAAGTGATATCATTAATTTATTTATTCTTTTCTTGTAACCCTCTGTCTCATTAAAATAGTTTATTGCTGAGGATTTATTTCTTGTCTTAGAGCAGAGAAGAAAAAAAGAACATTCTTCCCTGAAACATGGATTTGGCACTGCCTCAATGTCAGGTATCTATGGGGAACTTTTCTGCTGGTATCCAGTGGTTTGTGCAGAATCCTGTGAAGATTTTAGTTCACCTGGAGAATAATGTCCCTACATGACAGTCTCTGCCTCACATAACCCTTTAAAACCAACTAAGTGCTGCAACCATATCCTCTGACTTTTACCAGTACTTTCATCAGAATCTATTCCCCAGATTAGAGGGATAGCTCAGTGGTTTGAGCATTGGCTTGCTAAACCCAGGGTTGTGAGTTCAGTCCTTGAGGGGACCACTTAGGGATCTGGGGCAAAAATCAGTACTTGGTCCTGCTAGTGAAGGCAGGGGGCTGGACTCGATGACCTTTCATGGTCCCTTCCAGTTCTAGGAGATAGGATATCTCCATTTAAAAAAAAAATCTATTCTTGAAGCTTATTCCCACACTTGCGGTCATAACTGTCTGCGACAGCAATGTCTTCCGCATAGCAACTCACCATGGTGTCATAAACAGAGGATTCTAACTGCAGAGAGGGAACAGCAACCACGGGCTGCCATGTACCTTACTAGCTTCTAGCTTTTGCTCACTCAGTGCCAGTGGCCAGACTGACTTGCAGATACACCTGGGATTTAATCACTATTGAAATCTACTAGTTAAACACATGACACTATTTGTTGGCTAATAACATCTCTGTGGATCATGCACGTAGGTTGTTCACTATAAAGTTGTGCTGCACTTGTCAAAATGTTGTCTGTGAGCCACTGGTGGCCTGCAGAACACTGTGCTGGTGATCTGCAGAGAGCTACTGGATCACATGGTAGTAGGTCTTTGTTTCAATTTATTAACCTGTGTTAAAATAAAGCTAAAAACACATTGAGTACTCCCCTAGTATTAATTCCTCATGTGAACAATTGCTGCAGTTGCCACGGGAATGTTATGCAAATGTGAATGCGAGGAGAGATGGTTTGCGTTATTGTTAATGGGGTGAGAGGTTTCCACGAGACAAGCTCTCTACTAGGATGTGGTCCATCCTATCAGGATGCTGGAGTAGTGTGAGACATCCTTCAAAATGTGGGCAGCACTGAGCATCTCTAAGGAGGAAATAAGTATTGACTATGAAGCCTAATTCAAGAAAATTCCTCTGCCCATTCACCGGGATGTGCAGGGTCACAGAAGGTCATTTTTCAAGGCTCCCATGGATTACTGTGACAAGAAGCCCAAATTGATGTTTTTTTAATTTTTGCTGCTTTCTGTGTGTGATGTGTTGAGATATCGCCTGGACAGCTATGTCTCTAAAGTCGTTGCTCAATACTGCTAAGCACTAGTGAGCGCTCGACATTGATTTGGCATGTCAACCTAACACTGCACAAAACCCCTCCTTTCACTTTCCATTTTGTGTAGGGGTATCCCCAAAATAATCTAAACTCATTGCCCAGTAAATTACAGCCTGTTTCTGGCACAACCAGTGCCACAAAAATTAATAAATAGATGACTAATCCCTCCCAGAGGCAGCAAAGCTTGGGATAGGAAATGTGAGGCAGATTTTCAAGGGCTTCTCCAAGTTTGCAAGTAAACTTCACTCCCAGTAAATGTTTATAAATTAAATTTGACAGGAATTTGCAGCAAGTGTATTCAAATCTGTTCAATTGAGCATGAAATATGCTTTGTAAAAATACACAAAGAATTCCAGAAGTGCCTGTTTGCCCCAGCCTGCTGAAGCCCAGTTAATTATAAGTGGGAGACTGTGGAATAAAAAGATGCAGATTGCATTTTCTCCCCCTCATTTCACTATAAATGACCGAGTCTAACATTGTCTGATTTCCACTCCCTTGAATATTAAGAATTTTTTCTTCTATCATTTATAATTAAAATATACACTTCTTAAAAAAGAAACAATGTCTAACGTCGACTTCCCAAACCGATTCTAAAAATTCCTAGAGCCTAGTTGAAGTGTCTAATGGCTGGAAATATGTGTATACCTTGGCCCCTCGCCCAGAAGAGTAAGTGCCCTCATGTGTGAAAATAATATGTTAATGCTGGTTATGGGCTGAAATCCCAGTGGAAAGAACATCAGCTGCAACAAATTGTCTGGTTAAAGAGACTGGAATGTTGCCAGCTCTGAAGCTGGGATGCACTTCCGCTGATTCTCCAGGGCTATGGTTTATGTTGCAGGTACCAACTTTCCAGCTCTTATTATGGTTGCAAACTTTTTATTAGATGTTAAGAAAATAATGTGCTTGAAAGAGGTTAAAATAATATGGAGCTGCTGAGCCAAGTGAATTTCCCAGGCTCTGAATAATAGGAAGGTCCCTGTGCTATTCTGTGTAACTTGATCTGGAGAGCTGTCTTCACAGGACAGGGCACTAGAGACTGGCTGACCATAGCCCACCGGATTACCAAGGACACACTGAGTCTAGGTTTTCTTGATCCATTTGTTTTGTGTTAATGTTTCCCTGTTGGGATTTCCATAGAGGCTCCATGTCTGCAAAATGCTGAGGGGATCTGGCAGCAGGTGAAGCTTCCTTCACTTCACACATTTGCAATTTTTAATTGATTGTTCAGCTCAGCGTTGTTCTTGTTTCTTTGGGTACCTAATTCTATTGTGAAATCTGGCAAATATGATCATATTATTTAACTCAGTTAACAGGCCAGTATTTTACTGGCACCATCAGTTAGGTTACCAGTTAAATATTTCTGATAACTAATGGATAGAAATAAATATTTACACAAATATTACTATATTAAAGAACTTAACTATCCAATCAGATAGCAGCTTCAATCAAGAGATAATCTCTCATTCCATTTTACAATATCTTTCTGGATTTGGCTGCTTTTTAAGACCTGCGTGGTCAATGCAACTTGTTTAAGTGTCTGCTTAAGAACTCAAAGAACTCTTCTGATTTAGGGCTTTTACTGGACCTTTGTTTTTCTCTCTCTCTTTCTTCAATGGCAATTGCATGACTGCAACAAATAGAAAAGTAACCTGAAATCTGTTTCTAGCTTTGGTCACTTGTGTAACACGCATTAGCTAATCCAGTTCCAGGCACTTCCCAATCCCATTAATTGCTGGTTCTTTTCTGAAATGAAATGTTTCTTTCTTTTGAAATAAAGGTAATTTTAAACACCCAAGTTAATGCAAAGCCCAATTTAACTTTTAATACTTGGAGTCATACAAACCAATACACAATACTCTGCCTCATTTCCTAACTGTGGTGTTAACACAGCATCATAACAAATTACTTAAAAGCTGTTTATAAGGAACATATTAAAATACATGCTTCATCAGTTTTAAAACTTGGCTAGCCCATGCAGAATAGGAGAGTGTTTAACTCTTTGTACTTAAGTCTCTTCTGGGATATCCCCAGTGAATCAGCAGGTATCATGTTGTGAGAAGGCAGCATGATATGCGGAGGAGGCCACCTGTGCTTATTCTGGGGTCTCTCTCACTCTTTCTCCTAGTAACATGCCAGCTGAGATGTAGGTTCTTCTCAAAAGGTGCTAGAACTAGCAGCATGTGCATCAGGCTCTGGGAAGGAAATAAGAACTCTAGAGAGAGCCTCCTTCGGTGTGTACTTGTAATGGCACCAATCATCCTGCTAACTGAGCCATGAAATAGCTTTTGTTCTTGCTTTAGAAGAAACTGTCTGTCCGTCCTTTCAGTCATGGCCAAAGCTCCTTTGTGGGAGAAAGGGAGTGAATGCTGCAGGATGATATTGAATCCTGATTTTAACAAAGCATGAAGAATGTTAGATGGCAGAATACTGGGACAGACGCACTGTGATATACTCGGACACAGTTCCCGATGTGGTACTGTACATAGCAAATATAACAGGTTCCAACAAAGACTACTTTTATTTCACTATTTGTTGGATAAACCAATTTACTCCTTCTCTTTCTTTCTTAATACAGACCTTGGCCTCTAAGGAAAGTGATTCTATTGCCAGGGAGCAAATGCCTGTAAAGCTTTTAATCCAGGAAGGATTTAGAAATTAGATGCCATGTTACCAACTGTACTGCATATTAGCGAGTAACTGCTCACCTGCTCCATGCACATACAGCTCATGGTTACAGCAGAGGTCCCAAAAGAGCTGACCTCTAGCAAGAGGAGAATCCAGCTTTGCAGCCTTTGATCTCCTGGTGTACAAAGCGTAGCTGAAAGCCCTGACACTCCTGAGTCATATATTATACTATATTATGAGCTTGGATTGGGAGGGAATTCCCCAAAGTGTTTAGCTCTGTGAGCTTGAGCCGTGTTCAAATGTATCTCATTGAGCTGGACAGCCCAAGTTATTCCTTTATTCTTTTTGGCAGTGATGTATCAGGAGAAGCACAGCTGCATGTGGAAGTGCCTGACTCAATCACTACATGGATAACAGAGGCTGTGGGCCTGTCTGAGAAGAAAGGGCTGGGACTTGCCAAACAAACAGAACTGAAGACATTTAAACCTTTCTTCATCGATTTCACCCTGCCCTATCATGTCATCCGTGGGGAGCAGACCAAAATCCCGCTGACTGTCTACAATTACCTGGCTGTCTGCATAGAGGTAACAGCATCTTTTTTCTTTCTTTTTTTTTTTTTTTTTTTACTCATTACCAAGACACTGAATTTGGTTCTGTCATCAAGGATCATGTTCTAGGTATGATGATTGCAGATTCATGGTCAGTAAGGCATTTGGATGCCATGAAGATGAGTGCAATATACATACTGAGAGAGAAGAATGTATTAGTTTGTACTATTAGTGAAAGTAGCTGCTTTATTTTATTTACTTTTGACAAATGCAACATCCTGAATGGTCCTTGCAATATTTTAAAACCCAAATAGTGGAAAAGTCTTTGGTAGACTATCAGAAAATTCCCGTTGAAGCATGGGGAAGAGCTTGATTCTTAGTTAGAAAATTGCTTTAAGTAGTTTACCAGAGATGAGATGCCTGCTACAGATGGACATTTGAGAACCTCTCTTTCCTAAACATACTCTTTCTGACTCCAGTGCTCTTCTACAATCATAAGCCAGATATAGATGGTTAGATTTAGAAATGAACATACACAAGTAAAGTCAACATACATCCCTTTACATTTTATAGAGTCACTGCACTGAAGCTAAATCTGCTGTTTAAATCTCCTCTAAGAAATACATTTGATTAATGTGATATGTATGTTATGTGTTTGTTGAACATGCTGTGATATTTGGGTTTTGTGTCAGTTTCTGTCATTATTACTAGTCTGATTTGCATCAAATGCAATTAAATAATTGTTTTCACAGGTTCATGTGAAGATTTCAGTTCCAAAAGGCATAAAGTTTGTTGGACATCCTGGGAAACACCATCTGACAAGAAAGAAGTGTGTGGCCCCTGGAAAGGCCAAACCCACCTCTATAGTCCTGTCCTTCAGTGAGCTTGGACTAAGCAACATCACAGGTACTGTAGAGTTATAAACCCTTCTGTGCTGGAGTGCCTGATGGAATTTTGCAAAGCATTCCCCTTCTCCTCACTGCAGAAGATCCCCTCAGGTTCAGAGCTAGCTGAATCATTCACTGTGAATAATACTTCCTGCAGATTTAGCCCTTTTTTCCTATTTGTGAGCTGATCCCAATTTTCTACAAATGGATCCTACATTATCTGATGAGGTTCAACAAGGACAAGTGCAGAGTCCTGCACTTAGGACGGAAGAATCCCATGCACTGCTACAGACTAGGGACCAAATGGCTAGGCAGCAGTTCTGCAGAAAAGGACCTAGGGGTTACAGTGGACGAGAAGCTGGATACGAGTCGACAGTGTGCCCTTGTTGCCAAGAAGTCTAACGGCATTTTGGGCTGTATAAGTAGGGGCATTGCCAGCAGATCGAGGGATGTGATCATTCCCCTCTGTTCGGCATTAGTGAGGCCTCATCTGGAGTACTGTGTCCAGTTTTGGGCCCCACACTACAAGAAGGATGTGGAAAAATTGGAAAGAGTGCAGCGGAGAGCAACAAAAATAATTAGGGGGCTGGAGCACATGACTTATGAGGAGAGGCTGAGGGAACGGGGATTGTTTAGTCTGCAGAAGAGAAGAATGAGGGGGGATTTGATAGCTGCTTTCAACTACCTGAAATGGGGTTTCAAAGAGGATGGATCTAGACTGTTTTCAGTGGTACCAGATGACAGAACAAGGAGTAATGGTCTCAAGTTGCAGTGGGGGAGGTTTAGGTTGGATATTAGGAAAAACTTTTTCACTAGGAGGGTGGTGAAGCACTGGAATGGGTTACCTAGGAAGGTGGTGGAATCTCCTTCCTTAGAGGTTTTTAACGTCAGGCTTGACAAAGCCCTGGCTGGGATGATTTATTTGGGGATTGGTCCTGCTTTGAGCAGGGAGTTGGACTAGATGACCTCCTGAGGTCCCTTCCAACCCTGATATTCTATTCTATGATTCTATGATAAGGATTCACTGAGGAGTTTGTGTAAACAAACTTCTGGCAATTCCCTTTTACTTCACTCTTTGTTATTTGTGATGTGTGGTCACCTGTTGTGTTGCGTAGTTACTGATTGTATGACTAAAAATTTAAAATAGGAGACTAATAAATAATCCACAATCCTATACACCCATTCAGGCAAATAATCATTGGTGCAAAAATTCATTAATCTTAGAATTAGTAAAGACTTTCCCCAATACCCAGAGGTTGTCCAAATATTTATGGACTGAGAATAATATGACCCCACAACTAATAATGACTTTTATTTATAGAACACTTCTTGTGACCTCTACTCAGTTTAGAGCAATCCTGAATAGAGAAGTGTTTTAAGCTGTTGAAGATCCTGCTAAATTTAAATCTCTGCTTCCTCTTTTCTTTCTTTTACTTAGCAAAAGCATTTGCTTATGGCGGAACAAACTGCTGCCAGGATGGGATGCAGATCCTGAAGAATGGCAAGCACTCAGAGGACAATTACTTGGACAAAAGGACCCCAGTTGGGATAGACTATGTCCGTAGTAGTGTTATTATTGAGGTAAGAGGACATGATTCCATAACAATTCAGGAAAAAAACTAGGTGTCACTGGACAGTTCATTGAAACTTTTAGTTTAGTCAAAACTAAATGGATTATAAGGAACTTCAGGGCAAGGTGATTTAGCAAAGCCAGGTGTGACCGAGCCACACAACGACAGATGAGATGAATTTAAGACCTGTTTTTGAGTACCAATTGATCAAATTGTTCCTTCTGATGTGGATTATCTTGTATTTTTCTACTATTATTATTATATAACTGCAGTGCTGAGACCTTACAACTGAGAATGAGACCCCATTGTGCTGGGTGTAAGAGACAGACTCTGCCTCAAACATTTTACAACATAGAATATGGGAGAAAGGAAAGATTATTATCCACATTTTTAGAAGAGATTAAGTGACTTGCTCAATATCACACAGGGAGTTTATGGCAGATTTGCGCCCAGGCCTCCTGACTTCCAATCCAGTACTTTAACCACAAGGCTGTCCATTCTCTCCAGTCTGCACTAAATTAATCTATCACTCTGCTAACCTGTAGCCTAGTTTTTTTAGGTCATAGAATCATAGAACTGGAAGGGACCTCGAGAGGTCATCTAGTCCAGTCCCCTGCACTCTAAGTGTTTGCAGGACTAAGTATTATCTAGACCATCCCTGACAGGTGTTTGTCTAACCTGCTCTTAAAAATCTCCCATGATGGAGATTCCACAACCTCTCTAGGCAATTTATTCCAGTGCTTAACCACTCTGACAGTTAGGAAGTTTTTCCTAATATCCAACCTAAACTGTCCTTGCTACAATTTTAAGCCCATTGCTTCTTGTTCTGTCCTCAGAGGTTAAGAAGAACAATTTTTCTCCCTCCTCCTTGTAACAACCTTTTATGTGGTTGAAAACTGTTATGTCCCCTCTCAGTCTTCTCCTCTCCAGACTAAACAAACCCAATTTTTTCAATCTTCTCTCATAGGTCATGTTTTCTAGACCTTTAATTTTTTTTGTTGCTCTTTCTCCAATTTGTCCACATCTTTCCTGAAATGTAGCACCCAGTACTGGACACAATACTCCAGTTGAGACCTAATCAGCACGGAGTAGAGCGGAAGAATTACTTCTCGTATCTTGCTTACAATACTCCTGCTAATACATCCCAGAGTGATGTTTGCTATTTCTGCAAAGCGTTACACTGTTGACTCATATTTAGCTTGTGATCCACTATGATCCCCAGATTCCTTTCTGCAGTACTCCTTCCTAGGCCATTTCCCATTTTGTATGTGTGCAACTGATTGTTCCTTCCTAAATGGAGTACTTTGCATTTGTCCTTATTGAATTTAATCATATTTACTTCAGATCATTTCTCCAGTTTGTCCAGATCATTTTTAATTTTAATCCTATCTTCCAAAGCACTTGCAACTCCTCCCAGCTTGGTATTGTGCACAAACTTTATAAGTGTGCTCTCTATGCCATTATCTTAATCATTGATGAAGATTTTGAACAAAACCGGACCCAGAACCGATCCCTGTGGGACCCCACTCGTTATGCCTTTCCAGCATGACTTTGAACCACTGATACCTACTCTCTGGGAATGATTTTCCAACCAGTTATGCACCCACCTTATAGTAGCTCCCCCATCGAGGTTGTATTTCCCTAGTTTGTTTATGAGAAGGTCATGTGAGACAGTATCAAAAGCTTTACTAAAGTCAAGATATACCACATCTACCGTTTCCTCCCATCCACAAGGCTTGTTACCCTGTCAAAGAAAGCTATTGGGTTGGTTTGACATGATTTGTTCTTGACAAATCCATGCTGACTGTTTTTTATCACCTTATTATCTTCTAGGTGTTTGCAGATTGATTGCTTAATTATTTGCTCCATTATCTTTCCGGGTACAGAAGTTAAGCTGACTGGTCTGTAATTCCCTGGGTTGTCCTTATTTCCCTTTTTATAGATGGGCACTATATTTGCCCTTTTCCAGTCTTCTGGAATGTCTCCCATCTTCCATGACTTTTCAAAGATAATTGCTAATGTCTCCTCAGTCAGCTCCTTGAGTATTCTAGGATGCATTTCATCAGGCCCTGGTGATTTGAAGACATCTAACTTGTCTAAGTAATTTTTGACTTATTCTTTCCCTATTTTAGACTCTAATCCTACCTCATTTTCACTGGAATTCACTATTTTAGATGTCCCATCGCCACTGAAAACTGAAACAAAGAAGTCATTAAGCACCTCTGCCATTTCCACATTTTCTGTTATTGTCTTTCCCCCCTCATTGAGTAACGGGCCTACTCTGTCCTTGGTCTTCCTCTTGCTTCTAATGTATTTGTAGAATGTTTTCTTGTTTCCTTTTATGTCCCTAGCTAGTCTGATCTCCTTTTGTGCCTTGGCTTTTCTAATTTTGTCCCTATATACTTGTGTTAGTTGTTTATATTCATCCTTTGTAGTTGGACCGAGTTTCCACTTTTTGTAGGACTCTTTTTTGAATTTTAGATCATTGAAGATCTCCTGGTATTTTGAAGATCTCCCTTTATAGTTTCTCACAATCCTCTTTAATCTTTACTAATTTAAGTAATTGTGTGTCATCTGCAAAATTTTGCCACCTGGTTGTTCCCCTACTTTTCCAGATCATTAATGAATATGTAAAATAACACTCTTCTTTTCTTGGTAGTCCATCGAATACGATGATGACAAATCTGTGCAGATCATCAGTTATTGGTCTTATGGTGTGCTCTCTGGTGACTGTACAAGCCAATTCTAGAGGTGCACATTTTGCTGCAGATGGTGCATGGGAAGTTCGCGGTCAGTGGATTGTGTGCTGCTGATGCTCTGTGACGTCGTTGGCATGCCTCTTGTAGATGCTGGCAGTGGTCTTCCTCAAAGGTGATGCAGGTATTTCTGACTGTTGCACGCCACTGTGTTCTGTCGCTGGCGGCATCCTCAAGGTCCCTAGGTTTGATACTGCTGTAGTGCAGATTGGCTTTGATGGTGTCCTTGTAATGTTTCCGTGGACGACCTACATGCCGGATGCCTTGGGAGAGCTCACCATACAGAAGCTGGCGGGGGATTCTGTTGGCATCCATGCGGCTGACATGACCGGTCCAACGTAGCTGTGACTTCATGATCATCATTTCGATGCTTGTCATCTGGGCTCTCTCGAGGACCTCGAGATTGGGCACTTTGTCTTGCCAGTGGATCTTCATGATGTTGCGGAGGCAGCGCATGTGAAATGCTTCTTGCTGCTTGATGTGACGCCTATATAGTGTCCATGTTTCGCACCCGTACAAAAGAGATGAAAGAACAACAGCTCTGTACACAAGCAGTTTTGTTGACATCCGGATATTGTGGTGATTTAAAACTTTGACACGCAGACAGCCAAGTGCCTGGCTTGCTTTGGATATTCATGCACTGATCTCATTATCCAGTGATCCATCACTGGATATGACACTACCCAGATATTTAAAGTTCTCCACTACTTTCAGCTGAGTGCCGTCGATGGAGATACTCGGGACAGAAGCATTTGATCCAGGTGCAGGTTGATGGAGAACTTCTGTCTTTCCGAGGCTGATAGTCCGAAAAGTTGCGAGGCCTCAGCAAACTTGTTGACAATGTGCTGAAGATAATTTTCAGTGTGAGCCATGAGGGCACAGTCGTCAGCAAAGAGTGCCTCAAGAAGGAGTTTCTGCACTGTCTTAGTCTTTGCATTCAGGCGACGGAGGTCAAAAAGTGAACCATCATTCCGGTATTTCAAGTATATACCTCGGTCCAGATCTTTCAGTGCATGGTTAAGGACACGTGCAAAGAACAGGTTAAATAGGACAGGAGCGAGAACACATCCTTGTTTCACGCCGTTGGTGATGTTAAAGGGGGCTGATGTGGCTCCATCAGACAATACTTCGCCTGTCATGCTGTCATGAAAAATGCGTATAATCTGGACAAATTTTCTTGGGCAGCCAAGTCGTGTTAGAATGGTCCAAAGGGCTTCCCTGTTGACGGTATCTAACACCTTTGTCAGATCTATGAAGACAGCATACAGGTGCATGTTCTGTTCAATGCACTTCTCTTTTATTTGTCTGACAGCAAACACCATGTCGACTGTGCTCCGGCCAGGTCGAAAACCACATTGACTTTCAGGTAGATTTGCCTCGGAAATACTGGCTATTAGGCGGTTCAAGATGACACGGGCGATGATCTTCCCTCCAACAGAGAGGAGGGATATGCCTCTGTAGTTTCCACATTCTGCTTTGCTGCCTTTGTTCTTGAAAAGAGAGACAATAGTAGCATCGCGAAGGTCCTGTGGTATGTTTTCATCCTCTCAGATGTTGATGATCACGCTGTGGAACGCTGCTAGTGCTGCTGGACCTGCTGCTTTATACATCTCTGCTGGTATCCCATCTTTTCCAGGAGCTTTCCCTGAACTCATCTGGCTAACAGCTTTCTTAATCTCATCTATAGTGGGCGGAAAGTCAAGATCTGTCAGAGCAGGGTGTTGTGGAATTTCATTAAGGACATTATTATTCACGGTTGATGGTCTATTGAGAAGGTTACTAAAGTGTTCTCGCCATCTTTCTTTGATGCCTTCTTTATCTTTAATCAGCACTGTGTTGTCTAATGAGAGCAATGGGGTGGTCCTTGGTTTAAAGGGTCCATAGACAGTCTTAATAGCACTAAAGAACATCTTTAAGTTGTGAGTCTCAGCATAGTGCTCAATTTCTTTGTCTTTGCTCTCCCACCAGTCTTGTATCTGACGGAGGTCTTTCTGTGTTTTGCTCTGAAGGTACTTGAAATGGTCCCGTTTAGAGACTGAGGAGGGGTCATTCTGCCATTCGATAAAGGCTTTTCTCTTTACTTCCAATGCTGAGCATATTTCTTCTTGGTTCTCATCAAACCAATCCTGATGTGTTCTTTTCTTTGGTCCAAGAGATGTTATTGCTGTGTCAGTCACTATCTGCTTGAACTGGTACCACTTTTCGGTTACAGTACCGATCAGTTGACCGTGGGATGTCAGTTTGTCATTAAGACTCTTCTGGAATTTGTTGAAACATTGAGCATCCTTCAGTTTGGCTATATTGAAAGCAGATCGGACATGCTTAGGGCGTTTGTGCCGAGAAGGAACGATGTAGAGTTGAAGAGACGTCCTGACTAATCTGTGATCTGTCCAGCACTCTGCACCTCACATTACTCTGGTAATCAGTCTCGGATATCTCGCCTTCTAACAATGGCATAATCTATCAGATGCCACTGTTTGGACCTACGGTGCGTCCACGTCGTTTTGTATTTGTCCGCTTGTCAGAACAGAGTGTTGGTAATGGTCAGGTCATTTTCAGAACAAAGACTCAAAAGAAGTAATCCATTACTGTTCATTTTGCCTACACCATGTGGCCCGATTACTCCTTTCCAGTTCTCGCTGTCAGCCCCGACTCGGGCATTGAAATCTCCAAGTAGGAGTAGTTTATCTGTTACAGGTGTGGCCTTGATCAGTCTGTCGAGATCTTCATAGAATTGTTCCTTTGAGTTGTCAGAGCATGTTAAAGTGGGTGCATATGCACTGATGATGGTGACATGACGTTTGGCATTTAGTGGGAAGCGTAGCTTCAGCAATCTTTCATTGATACCCACTGGAAGGTCTGGGAGTTGATGCATCAATAAGATTTTTATTGCCAGACCAACTCCGTGTATTCTGTCCTCTGTCTCAGTCTTACCCTTCCAGAAGAAGGTGTAACCATCTCCTGGTTCACTCAAGAAACCTTCCCCAGGCAATCTTGTTTCACTTAATGCCGCTATATCGATGTTATAACGGACTAGTTCTCGAGCAATGAGGGCTGTCCTTCTCTCAGGTCTTGCAACAGCTTCTCGATCCATGAGGGTACGAACATTCCATACACCAATGGTAAGTTTTCTCAAATTTTTCTTTTGGTTTCGGCCGCAGATTGGGTTGAACTGCCAGCCACGGCTTGCTGGCCAGTCGTTGTAGGGCAGGCAATTTTTAGGCCACCTTTTCTAGGCCCCTCCCTTACTAGGGTGAGCAGTGCTGTCCTGAAGAGGGCTGCTCAGACGCCTGGGATGCTGCCGGGCAACTCTGCTGCCCCAAGTACAGAGCTGGACGACCACCTATCCACAGGCCGCCTGCGTGCAGGATTGGGACTACGACTCCCAGTGGTAACCTCCACCTGTCACTTTGCCCCTCCCCCATCGCCGCAGGACTTGGGTAGTATGATGATGATGATGTTTGATGATTTGCACAGGACCTGTGCGTGAAAGCTTTTGGGTGGTAGAGCCGTTGCACGGGCGCAATCCCACTCTCTCGACCTTAGAAGCCAGACACCAATGGTACGAAAAATCGTCACGACTGGTAACTTCTTTGGTTGCAGTGGATGGCCTTGACGTCTTTCGTGCCTCGTCAAGTCCTTCGCTTTCCACAAAGCATTGCAGAACCGCCTTCTTGGCCGTTGGATCTTAGTGATCTCTTTCGCCCAGTCCGCCGGAGCTGACGTCGCATGCGGGGTGGGCGTATCCCAAATTCACTGAGGGTTTGAGTCCCATCAGTTACACCCACCTGGTTTGGCCGGCCTGTCGAAGCCGTTGCCCGGGGTGTGGCCGCTGCGCATGCTGCAGCTCCTTGGAGCCACAAGTGAGAGCTGAGTGACAGGTGGGGACCAAAGTGGATGGACTACCCCCAAAGGGTACGACAAGTCCCCCCATCAGAGGTACTACCCCTCCCTGGCCACCCCATACACCCCAAAATAACACTAGTCCTAGTACAAATATGGGAGGCATCCCCCGATAACCTCATGCCACACCGGAAATACCATGTATTTCTTTATTTTCTAGCTCTTTAAACATTTTGTAATTTATAATAGAACTTCGCCTCTCACCACCAATTTACTTAGTTTCCTTTATAGCCTCTTGTGGGGGAATTCATCAAAAGAAATCTGTATCTACTGATTTTTCTTTATCTGTTATTCTGCTGAGTCTATCAAATATTTATAACAGGCTGGATGAGGTATGATTTTCCTTAATAGAAGCTGTGCTGGTTTGCCTCTCTTATATCATATTATCTAGGTATCTTTTAAATCTCTTTAATTACTGTTTCAGCTACCTTACATAGACATGAAGTAAAGCACACTGGGCTGACATTCCCAGGGTCACCCTTAGCACCTTTTTAACAACAGATAAAACACTCACTATCCTTCAATATGGTAGATGACTTTAATGATTGAAAATATATTTTTTGTTTGCAGCTCAGCCACTAAGTGTAAAATTCTGAAGCTTTAATGCCTGAAGTTAAGTGCCTAAATCCATACTTAGGTACATTCGAAAGCAATGACGAGCCATAGTCTGTCTTCCTGATAACAATGCCAGTGAAATGTCATATTCTATAATGTATAATGTGCCTTTAATGCTATATGGCACCAGAACTTTATTTTGTGTATTTATAACGAAAACTAAATGGTGGTTGCTGTTAATCCAAATGCTCATTTTCCTAATGGATTTCTGCCTTTGTATAGCCAGAGGGATTACCCAGAGAATATACCTACAGTGTGTTCTTCTGCCCTAATGGTAAGTTTGTGGTTTGAATACAATATGACAAAGTTTGTTTTTTTCCACAATTTAAGTTATAAATAGAAACATGTTGCTTTACCCCATGAAAAACTTCATTTGTTTCCCTCTTTTCAGTAGGAAAATCAGTAAAATTTATATTCCATCTATGGCTGATGAGTTTACAGCATGTACATCAAGCTATTGATCTAAAGGGTCTTTCATACCTGGCTGGCTAACTATGGACAATATTAATTGGCCAAATGCTATATGCAAATAAAAAGTGAACTTCCCTTTCTTTATAAAACTGGCTAAGTGTTTTGCACAGTGGACCACAACTGTGGCTAAATTAGTCTGTATTATATTTTTAGTTGATTTTTTAATTCAGATTCAAAGTCAGAGTATCCCTTCTGTCTGATTCAGATAAATTGGATTTGGCTACAGTAGCTAATTATGATTTGGCTTCTGCTAAACACAGAGTCTTCTTGACCATTTAAATTGGGAATTGAGAAATCATATATAGACTTCACAAGAAATATACCTGGATTGTTTGAAATAACAAGTCCTAATTCTATATAGGAAGGAATGTAAGAAAGTGGAAGTTAGGAAGAGACACCCTTATCTACTCTGCTAGTTTGATTTGTGAGGCACTGGAGTGACAAATGCATACTGATACATTATGCAGCACAAAGCCCCATGTGTTTGAAGTTCTGTCTTGGGCTAAGTGGGTTTTTATTAACAATTTTGTGACCGCCTAACTTAACATCAAGATCTAATTCTGACAATATTCCATTATTTTTTTGACTAGAGAAAATTCACATTTCTACACCTAACAAATATGAGTACCAGTATATGCAGAAGCCTGCCCGGATGACTCATTTCGACATTGCAGTGAAAGCGCACAATGATGCTCATTTTGCCTTGTCCTCTGGCCCACATGACATGGCAGAGATGACTGAGATTGTCATTGGTGGGCATCAAAATGCTAAAACGTGGATTTCTACTAGTAAAATGGGTGAGCCAGTTGTCAGCACAGACACAGCTGGCATCCTCTCTTGGGATGAATTCAGGAGCTTCTGGATCAGCTGGAAAAATGGAATTATTCAGGTAGTGAATTTGTCTGTGTAACAACAGCCTTATGGTCTTAACCAGACCGAGAGGACTCTGAGTGTATATATGGCACATTTCCATTAGCCATGTTATAGAAAGAAAGAGCCTAATTTCTGTTCCTTTTCTATGTGAAATTTTTATTGGGCAGTTAATATTAGAGTACTTGATTGTATTTCTAAATGTTTTTCTTTGTGATGCAGTGCCCTGGGCACCTCAGCTTTAAAAATTATTGTTATTAAGTGTATTAAAAGTATTTGCTCCTGGGGAACACAGGTCCAGCTGGTCAGTCCTGATGGGAGACCAGTGGGAAATAACTTGCTGATATCTCCTTAATTTCCAATTAAATCCAGTGGAGTTTTGCTTGTTTATGTAATGTTCTCATGAGGCAACTACAAGTTTAAGCCGCTGAGTCCAAGGGCACTGTAGAGGAGCGGACTCACCCCTGCGGCACCTCCTGTTGGTCTCTTCTGGGAATTAGCTCTTCCAGCGTCCTGGAGCACCCCCTGCAGGCCGATGATCTGCCTGTCCTCTGGCCCCCGTGTCCCTCCCGGACCCCGGTGCCTGAGTATCTGGGGTGCTGCCCCCTGGCAGTACACCCCTCAGTACTAGGGTCTCCCCTCCCTGGGGAACCCCCACCCACTATCCCTACCTCGCCTCAGAATAAGGCCACTGCCAGTCACCAACTAGCCCCCGCTCCCTGGGGCAGACTGCAGTATAGGCCACTCATCACAGGCAAGGTTGGGTTTGGACCTGCTGCCTTGGCCTAGCCCTGGGCTGCCCTCTGCAACCCCCAGTACCCCTTGGCCTTCTACTAGGCCACAGCCTGGGGCTTTCCAGGCTGGAGCTCCCCAGCTCCTCAGCCTGTCCCCAGCCCTGCTCCACTCAGGTACCCTGTCTCTGCTCCCTGCAGCCAGGCCCTTCTCTCTCTAAGTGGAGAGAGAGAGACTGCTGAGCTCCTCGCTCCCAGCCTTCTTATACAGGCCAGCTGGGGCCTGATTGGGGCGTGGCCTAGCTGTGGCTACTTCCCCACTCAGCCCAGTAGCTTTTCCTTTTGCCCCAGCCCTCTGCCAGGGCTGTTTTAAACCCCTCAGACAAGAGCAGGGTAACCACCCCACTACAGGCACATACAATAGATTTCCAAATTTAACAAGAGAGGCAGGTTTGACTTGGATGTTCCTCCTGGAATTGGATGGTTTGCTTGTTCCTTTCAGGTTGGCTATGGTACTCAGATGCTAAATGAATCCATTATTGTGGAGTGGGCCATCCCCAAACAGCCTGAGGTGAAGTACATTGGCTTCTCCACAGGCTGGGGCTCAATGGGAGAGTTTAAAATCTGGAGAAAAGAAGAGACTGATGAAAATCACAATGAAGCGTTTACTCTTGGAGTTCCCCACAATGTGATCCCTGGATCAGAAAGAGCTACTGCCTCAATAATAGGTACCAACTAAAAGGGAGTGGGGGTTAATAAAGATAGATGCTACAAGCTAATATTTAACAGTAATATGAACCAGGCAGGATAGTCATAACCAATTATAATGAAAATAATATTACTTTCTGGGATGTGGAATGGTTTGCCTTTCAGTTGCTGGTTTGAACCCAGTCCAGGTTGACAGTGACTGAAAGTTGACATCATCTGATGGTTCTTCAGTAGCCTCTATGGAAAGAGATGACAGTACCCAGTGGAAATGTATGCACAAAATCATCACAATCACAAGTTGCACTAACTAGCTTTCCTGTTAACGGTCTTAGCTGGTTAGCCAAGGAGTTAATGAGCCCTGGAGATTGAAATTTCCTCTCTACTCCAAGGGAAACCCTGCATGGCTAAGACTGAGGATCTCTGGGGGTTCCAATTTTATATTAAGGTTTAGTGTTCCTAGAAGGGTGCATCTGATGGTAACCAGTGGGCTTAATTTGGTTTGTGCCATTATAGTTGTGAGTAGAACCTTCATCAGCCATTCAGGTTCCTCCTTCCTCAGTTTTGTACATTTAGAAAATAAAATTAAACAATGAGACAACAGGGAGAGAGAAGTTAAATATAGTGTAGAGGTACTGAATGTGTGTCTCATTGTTTTAATCAGGCGATGTAATGGGCCCTACGCTTAACAACTTGGACAATCTTCTACGATTACCATTTGGATGTGGAGAGCAGAACATGATCCATTTTGCTCCCAATGTCTTTGTTCTAAAATATCTGCAGAAAACCAAACAACTCAGCTCTGAGGTGGAGAGCGAAGCCACAGATTACCTGGTGCAAGGTACTTCCTCAGACTCATAGACTGTAGAGACAGAAAAGACCTATCAGTAGTCTAGGCCATCAGAGCATATTACTAGTTTAACATTGTCCTGTCTAGCCTGAAATATCCTGAGTGATGGGGCTCACACCATTTCCCTGTGGAGATTATCATATAGCCTCATAGATATCAGTGTCAGGAAGTTTTTCTTGGTACACAGCCTATATTTTCCCTTCTTAATTACTCCTAGTTACACATTCTTTTACTCTCCTAAATATTTTCTTTCTCTCCTAGTTGTTTACAGCCTTCAGATACTTGTGCAAGGCTATTGTGTTTCCATTAGTCATTGCTTAGCCAAGCTGCATGTATTTAGTTTTTTTAATCTTTTTTTCTAAATCAATCCTTCCAGCCCTCCAACCATTTCTGTTGTTCTTTGAACTCCCTCCAATTTGTCAATATCTTCTTAATTACAATTTGTCCAGAACCAAATTAGTATCCCAGGAGCAGTCATTCCAGAGCCATATGGAGAGGGTCTGTCCCCACCCTGTTCAATGTCATGTCATTTCTGTGTGTGTAGCCTAAAGCAATCTGCTTTTTCAAGCGTTTTCTCTCTCTGCATTCAAATAGGAAGGATGGTTTGTACAGAATGGTTTGTAGCTACACAAAGCAAGGCTCCCAGGAACAGGGAAGAATTACAAGAAAATTATTAAAAACAAGAATGACCCACAAGGGGATGGACATGGGCTGCCTTGTGCATGACTCAGACAATAGCCATGTCATGGAATCATAGGTGACAGGGTTAACTGGGATTCCTCAGAAAAAGTAATCCATTCCCTGTACCCATCAGCAAGAGCCCTATGTTATTTGCCTTTAGGGACTGGGCCAGAATTATTTCACTTGGTAGTTTGCTGTGCTCTCTGCTTCCCCTCAAAGTTAGAGCATTTTCTAATAGCCGAGCTCAGTTTATCATTTTTAATAATATACAGTTTTAATTTACAACCTTTCAAGTGTTTGGGCTTCAAATTCGGCATGTTAATTTACCTCCACAGAGGAAATCCCACAAGGCTATTAACCTTCCTGTGCTCTCTGGGACCCTTGCCAAGTAGCAGGTTCTGATGGAGAAAGCCCTTGTCCTGCTTTATGAAGGCCTTTGCGCCTTACTGAGCAAGAAAACTTTCTTTTGCCACTAAAATCCATCCATCAAAGAGCAAAATAAGTGGTTCTCAAACTTTTGTACTGGTGACCCCTTTCACATAGCAAGCCTGAGTGCGACCCCCCCCTTATAAATTAAAAATACTTTTTTATATATTTAACACCATTATAAATGCTGGATGCAAAGCGGGGCTTGGGGTGCAGGCTGACAGCTTGCGACCCCCCATATAATAACCTTGCGACCCCCTGAGGGGTCCCGACCCCCAGTTTGAGAACCCCTGAGCAAAATCATAGAACCTGTTATCACTTGCAGTTCCCAGCTCCATTCCTTAATCCTCAGTGCTGTGCTGGGCTTCTCGGTAAAATTTCTACCTTACCACATCAAAGTTCTTAAAAACACAGATGAACTCTAGAGAGATGAAGTGTCTCGTTTTTGCACCTCTCCAGACTGTAAAAAGGGATGCACAGAAAATGTAAGAAGCATTCATAAGAGCAAGCAAGATGTGAAATGGCTCAGGAGAGAGATCTAACAAGCAAAGAAAAATAAATGTAAGAGTAACAGCCAAGGAAAGTGTAAGAAGAGTGACATACAGAAACTTACCACCGGCTACCAGCAAAATGAATCTGAATTTATTGTTTCCAACATGACACAATCTGGTGATGAAGAGATACTTTTCAGCAGTAAATTGTATCTGAGGCTTATGTAGGGATCTCACTATAAAGGAAAAGTCAAATTTAATGCAGCAGCTATTGCTGGTCTGAGAAGAACATCTTTCTCTTTGGTTTCTGGGTGTGAAAAGGCTTCACCTGCCTCCTGCAAGCTACAGAACTACTGAAGAATTCGGAAGGCAGTGACTTTTTGTAGCATTGTCAGTAAATATGTGTATTGACTTAGCTGTCTGGATGCACAGAATTACAGGCCAATTCCTACCACCAGCTCGCCTTAGTCTCTTGTCTGTGTCTGCACTCAAAGTTGAGGTTGGTGGGTAGAATGGCTCCAGCAGCAGTTGGAGAGATGTTTGTAAACCTCCTTGCCAACTCTGTGACCCCACTTGTCATGGTAACGATTTTTTTCAGCAGAGTACCTTTTAGCCCAAATAGGCCAGTTTAAGCAGGGCTTGAATGCAGCACTTGTATCTGATGTGAACTTAGGCCTGGTCTACACTACAGCTAGGTTGATGAAAGGCAGCTTACCCACCGACGTAACTACCCTGCTATGCCGACTTAATAACTCCAGCTCCACGAGAGGCGTAGAGTCAATGTCATTGTAGTTAGGTCAACAAAGTGTCAGACCATATCTACACATACAGCAATGCAGTGGTGCAGCTCTCCTGCCAGAATAAAAAAATCCTGCAAGTGGCATAAGCTGTGTCGGCATGAGAAGCTCTCCCACCAGCATAGCACTGTGCACATTGGTGCTTATGTCAGTGTACCTTATGTCGCTCTGGGGGGGTGGATTATTCCCACCCCTGAGCGACATAATTTTTGCCTACATAAGTGGTAGTGTAGACACAGCCTCAATGTAGATGCTGCGTTGCTTACATCGACTGTTACTGGCTTTCAGAAGCCATCTCACAATGCCCCGCACTGACGGGACAGTTGGTACAAGTGCTTGTGATGAGGACATTCACCGCCCACTCATGGAGGATAGGTCCATCAATGGCTATTAGCCAGGATGGGCAGGGATGAAAAACCATGCTCTGAAGTGTCCCTAGCCTCTGTTTGCCAGAAGCTGGGAATGGGTGATGGGATTGATCACTTGATGATTACCTGTTCTGTTCATTCTCTCTGGCATTGCTCCCAGAGTCTCTCTCTTTCACCAAATTGGGTTCTTCCCCTAAGGCTACTGTTGCATTATCTTTCTGAGGAACAAGTGGATTTTATTCTCCTACTTTTATCCATATATCCTCTGAATCCCCAGTCCAAGCTTTTCACTTCTTGAGCATAATTAACTTCTAGGAATCAATTTGTTTTCTATTTTACAAACTCACCCAGCTCTGCTCTCTCTAAAAGGGAAACTTTTGGAGGTTGTGGAGAAGCAGGGGGAGATGGACAGCCACTGATAGGAGGTTGTACTGCTGCCTGTATCTGCAGAGGTCAGCAAAGCTACTTAGTCCCTGGAAATGAAAAATTAATCCATTCTCATAAAGATGTCATGCAGCATGGAATAAAAAGTCTATTTATGGGTCAGAGAATTAGCCAGGCTCCAAATGTCTCTCTGTCATATAGCCTCTTACACGTGTTTGACACATCTCCATATCAGAAATGGCCATTCTGAAGGATTTAGATCAAATGGACATTTAAAATCCTTGCCAAAATTACTGTGTATTGGGGTTTCCACATTATAGAGACTTGGCCCAATTTTATTAGCACTGGCGGTTCATGATTACAAGGCAAGTAGGTTTGATGAAAGGTGAATTCCATCCATTATAGCTAAAATGCTAATCCCATCTTTATCTTCAGCATTTGAAGGACATTCACATAGGGAGCACTCGTACATTAAGGTGACCGCTCTAAACGGATGCATCCTGAAATGGGCCCCCGGTATTTTCTCTTGCTCTTCAGTATCTAACTTCACAATAACTGTTAGGTTAAAATGTGCCTTCTGTAAGACAGCCCTATCAGCTAGGAAGGGTTCAAATAAGTTAAGACCCCGATGACTTAGCTATTGCATGTCTCAAGAAACTGCTTGCCAAGGTGATCAATCTTATTGTTCCCCAAACTGACTTTTCAGCTCAGGAATTTTTCTCAACTAAAGGGAAGAGAAAGAAAGTCCTAATAAAAGGAAGATATGACTGACAAGTGCCATCCCATATATAGACATGCAAAGAGCCTCCAGCTGGGCATGGAAAAGAGGAAGACAGCGCAATCTTTGCCAACTTCTGTTACTTGACAAGTGGAAATGATTAAGAGAACACCCTCACTTCCTGTGGGATCAAGTCATGAAGATGGACTCAGCTGTTGCTGGCCACATCCCTTAAATATCAGCTCACCACCAGCTTGGACAGAGAGATCTATGTCCTGGTTTGATGTTATCATCCAGGGAATTAGCTCCTCAGCCGCATGATACTTCCTGTACAATAAGAGAGTGGTTGTGGATTGTTGTTTAAGCACAGAGAATTTTTTGTAATGTTGCACCTTTATGCAGTAATGTCATCAATTAAACATTTCTAGTGGCCAAGGTGCAGGAACTGATCTTAATATTAACTATCCCAGGTGTCACGGACTTGCAGGTCATGCCCACTCTTGGCCCTGTGCGGTCTGTGGGGGAGTGCCCCTTACAGTGAGACAGCCCTTCTCGGGGGTCCACTCTCTCCCGGGGTTAGGCCCCTCCACCTCCTGGAGCCTCACCTCTCTGAGCCTTAGCACACCTGTTTCTCGCTGTGGACCCCCTCAGGAAGTCCACTCGCTCTGGACCCCCGGGGCCTCCACTCCCCGAAGGGGTTGATGCAACCCTGTTCTCAAGACCGGAGTGACTCTCAGCCAGCGTAAAACAGGAGGGTTTATTGAGCGTTGAACACAGCACAGGAAACTCTCAGGGCCTCAGGCCTGGCCTCCCTCAGCACAGCACATCCAAGTCTCTCCTTCATCCAGGTGGGCTCTGCCTGCTCCCCCTCTCCAGCCCTGAGCCCCCCTGCTTCCCAGCTGGGCCTCTGAGATCACCGGCCCCAATCCCCGCCTCTGTCCATTGTCTTCTCTCCAGGTAAACAGGGTCGTAAACTGGAGTCGCCTGGGCCTCCTCTCCTCTCTTCTGTCCTCTGGCCCCCTCTGGCTGATACCGGCTGGTTAGGTCACCGGGGGCCTCTCTTTACAGCCCATTGTCCTCCCATTGGCCAGAACCAGCTGCAACTCCTGAGCTGGGTCTCTGGGTTGTCAGGTCACCAGTCGCTGGGGTGTCCACCCTCCAGGCCATCAGCTGGGGTCCCAAGTTCCCTCTCCGGTCCTCTATAACAACAAACTCCCTCTCCCCTCCCCTCGTTAAATCACTAACACCCAGGGACACTGAGTCCCACTCCCTCTGCATGCAAACCATTGGAAAAAACAAGAAAATCCCCCACTTCGTCACACCAGGAACTCTGCATCCTAACCAGTTCTTGGATAAGTGTAGTGCTCAGTAAGAGGCTAATAGTAGAAGTTATGTTTTGATCACTTGTCTTCAGGAGATGTATGGAGACTTATAAATACTAGCCTGTAATAAGATTGAGTTAAGATCTATTCCACACACACACAGGGTTGGCTCTACCATACACAGCAAAACAAGAGGTTGCCTTTGGCAGCAGAGTCCGCCATACCAGTGTTGGATGATCTGAGTCTTCATTCAGTTTGCTTTTCTAAGTTGCTGGACTCCCACAATTCTTTTGTGATTTCCAGGTTACCAACGCCAGTTGACCTACAAGAGACAAGATGGTTCATACAGTGCTTTTGGCGAGAGGGACTCCTCAGGGAGTATGTGGTAAGCAAGTCGCTATTTAAAACAGAGTTAAAGATTCAGTGTTTGCCAAATTGAAAAGGACATAATTGGCAAAAAGGACAATAACTTTCCAGCTTGTGTCAGGATGTCGCACATAGCAGAGAGTAAAAATGATATTTAATGGCTAGAAGCCTGCTAATGCTCTACTGCTAAGTGTTTTGTGATCCCACATTGGATGGGTTTTGAGGATCAGGGACTGTTAAGATGTTAGTTAATGCACGTCCCTTTAAGGTTCAAAAGCTGTAGTTTAGGGTCAGATTCTATGCCATAGAACTGCATAGGCAGTGCATGACCTCAATAAGCACCTGCTTACTTGAGAACAGAACTCCACCCAGGCTGTGTTGGGGAGATGGCAGGGCACCTCCTTCAGGGCAGAAGGGAGAGAATTGAGCACATCTTTCAGTGGACTCCAGCTCCACCTGGATGAAACAGAACAGGATGGATGGATGGATTCCCAGGAAACTGAGCTGCAGGGCCTTTCAAGGTACCAGTTGTGTTGGGGTAGTAGATGGAGGGTGTTCCAGTGTTCTCTAGAACACCCCCCATCCCCCAAGACTCTGCTTTACCTCAGTATTAGCATTTACTTGACTAAATGCAGCACTTTAAACTAAAAAGTTTTCCATTTTGTTCATTTGCCTGCATTGTCACTCAATTTCTTCAGCTGCTCTGTATTTTCCTTTAGATTGACTTGCTCCATGAACTCATCTGAAAGGGAAGTAGAATTTCTGTGATGATGATGCTTAACTTTTTTAAAGATAATAAACTCTACTTTCATCTCAGAGCTGGCATCTCTTAGTCCCTAGATATAAAATATTGTAACACACAATTACTTAACACTCGAAAAATCCCCTGCCAGGAAGCCTGCCTCCTACCCTCCCATTCCTGAGGGGCTTGTAAAATGAGTGATTCAGTCTCCCAAAACCGGCTGGAGTTCACACTTTTTGCATGTCAGAGGTTTAGAATTCTAAAAGCACTTCTTCTGTCTCTGCTTAAATCCTAACGCTCTACAGAGACAGACTTTAGCAGTGGTTTGAATTTCCAGTTGTTTTATTATCAGTAAGTAATTAAAATAGGGGAAATTACAATATTTTCCTTCTTGTCCATCTAGTATTATATCTGAATTGGTAATTGTACGAATCTTATTTCAAAAGCTTGAGTCAGAGAGCAGCTAAACACCTGTACAAGAGAAATTAATTCCAGCCAATGACAATGTTGAGTCAAATTTTGTCTCTCTTTCTATTTACGATATCCTATGGTAGTGAGTTCCACAGGCTTAACTTTCTTTTTTTGTTGGGTTTTTGTTGTTCTTTTTAAATCTTTCTCAGTTTAAAATATGCTGCCTTTGAATTTCATGCAGTGTCCCCTTGTTTCATGTATTATCCAGAAGGATAAATAGTGCCCAGTTTATCTTCTCTACACCATTCTTTTTTTGTATATTTCAATAGTGTCTCCTCTTCTAGATTTTTGAAACATACATTTCCCAGAAGCACTATTTCCCATATAGTGTTCTCTGTTCTTATTCTCAAGAACCTGCTGAATTTGTGTTTTCAGGCTAACAGCCTTTGTTCTCAAGTCCTTTGCGCAGTCTCGTGGGTTTATTTTCATCGATCCCAAGGAATTAACAGCTGCAAAGGATTGGATCATTCAGCACCAGAAGGAAGATGGGTCGTTCCCTGCTATGGGTAGAATATTAAATAAGGACATCCAGGTAAAAACTATAGAGACTTAGAATCATGCAATAAATGCATTTTTAGAATGTTACCAGGGTTGGAGGTAGTGTAATCTTATGGTTAATATGATTTTTGTGTTAAAGGGCTATGATCCTATGGGAAAGAAACTAAAGAGGGGTTTCAATAAAGCAGTCTGCTAGGGCTTAGCTGTGTGCCACCCTTTGAGAATCCCACCATGGCACTTTGAAACTGCATCTCAACTATGAAGCTCAATGTCTCAGATGTGCTACCAGGCCATGGACCTGGCAGAAAGTTGCAAAGGGGAATTGGGTTTCAGAACTATAGGCTCACCAAGTACAAATGTGAAAGGGTCCTATGGCCTTAGCCTTTCTCATGGTTCCAACTTATTCCCTGCTTGGCTTCCAAAGTCCTTCCATGCAGCATGCTGCTGTTCAATTTTCACCCAGTTGTTTTATGTTTATCACCCTCCAGGGTGGAATCCACGGCAAGATCTCACTGACAGCATATGTGGTTGCAGCTCTGTTGGAGACGGGCATCACCTTTGAGGTAAAGGACTGAACAGCAGCCATTAAAATAGCTAAGAGTGGAATGTCTCAAAAGGATCTTTTCTAAAGTTAGCCATGGAGATTCCTGCCACCTCGGATTGTCAGCTTGTGGCTTTTTCCAGAGGAGCAGAGCTGCTCTCTCTAAATACCCTCCAGCAGCAGGCAGTTGTCTCCACATAAGTTGCTGAGCAGCTCAGAAAGGCAGTGAACACACTAAATATGGATTTGTCTCTCTGCTCCTCTTTGTCCTGATCCTAATAGGTGGGTTTGCTGGCAGCCCCTGCCAGGTAGACACGTTCATGAATTCCACAGCCTGTGATTCCTCAATTAGACTATTTAAAATTATCAAATATCTTAGCGAAGAGTCACTTTCCTGTGATGTAGTGGAATGTAAACTGCAGCAAAATGTTCACCTTTGCTGTAATGCAATTTCCTGGTGCTTAATCCAAGGCATATGTGTGGAGAGCCACTGCTTTCTATCACTCCAGAAGAGTAGGAGGCAGCCAGATCTCAGTGAATAGAAGATGTCTTGGATTGCCTGTTAAATTAATCCTGAATCCCCTGTACTGTGTTACCTTTGTTAAATCCAGAAGGGGAAGCTGATTTACTATCTGAAGAGAGTTCAGTTGGATGTGTGAATGAGTTAATGGTCCTCAGTCCAATTTCTGTTGGATAAATAGCTGTGTCCCAAAAACTACAGCCACAGTTGCCTCGATTGCTGCTGGGTCTGGTAGATAGGCTGAAAATTGAATGCCCCTTGGAGACTGAACTCTCCTCTCACCTCCAAGAATAGGCATTGGCAGTGTATTCTTATTTCTTTGTATTACAGTAGTGCCTACAACTCCACTGTGCAACAAACACCTGCCCCAAAAAGTTTACTGTCTAAGTAGACAAGGCAGAAAGGGAAATAAAGACACAGAGAGGGGAAGCGACATGCCCAAGGTTGCACAGCAGGTCAGTGGCAGAGCCAGGAACAGAAACCCAGTCTCCTAACACTGACTCTTAATCCAGTGCCTACCCCCTAAACTATATGATCACCCCAAGTTTATAGAGCTGTTGCCTGTGCTGGACTTGTGTAGATAAATGGTGGATTTCACTGTTCATTTCTGTCAAGCTGTCCCTACATTAGTAAAAAGAAAGAGAAATATATCCCTGTCTCCTCATTCCAACAGAGAGGACAAGCTCTTACTGTTAATTAACTCTGGAAGCCTTCTGCCATATCACTCCCCAATGTGAACTGGGTCCCATTTGATTCATTTAGGTCTTGTATGAGCAAGGTTCTAAAGATTCATTTTATATATAATATAAAAAATGTGGGGTTAATGTAGGGATGACCAGACTTTCCCAAACTGAGCCCCACATAGCCAACTTGCTAGGAGCTACAGAACTACAAAAACGGAACAGATTGTCTCTCATGTTGAGGTGCGTGCAGCGTGCTAGAAGCGTGGTACCGATGAGGTGGGGCTTCTGGGCTGCACTGTAGAATTCTGCAGGCTACACTCTGGCCACCCAGACTTCGAAGACTGGACAAAGTGAGTTCCCCAAACCCTTCTGGAATCTCTGTAGATTGCATGTTGGAGCCTGCTACTGATCTCACAGTTTCTCTGTAGCCTGTTTGTGATCACACATTGCACACACTCAAAAGAGCTGAGCCGAGCATTCCCTGTGGGGAGGGAATGACAATAAATATGTTTATGAATCTGATACCATGTGTCTCTGTAGAGAGAAAGCTCTGTTTAGTGTGTCTCTTTGGTGTCCCCTACTCAGACATGTTGATTGCCTGTTCAGGCATAAAACACCGTTTTTAAGGGGATTTTTAAGTTCCCAGAGGAGCCATGAGGATCTCTTCAGAAAACCTTTGTGACTGATGTGCTCAGCGTGCTGTAGACCTGTGCTTTGCAAAGCTCTCAGAATAAGGGCCCGAGCCTGCAATGTGCTGAGCATCCTTTATTCCTGTTAGACTCAGTGGGAGTTGAGGGCACTCAGCACTGTGCAAGATCTGATCCTGAAAGTGCTAAAGGAGTAAGTTGCCACCCCCTCTGCTGCAACTCCCCTTTATGGGAAAGATAGGGCAGGGTAGGATGTTCTCGCTAGGCCATTTCTAAGTCAGATAGCCCCAAAAGTCCAAGTTCATGACAATCTGGTGGTTTCCCTAGGGGAGATCTGCAAGTGTTACTAATGATCTGAGCTAGGAAATGAGGAAGGAAGAAGGTAAGTGTCACAGGGCAATCAAAGGAAACCCAATTACATCAAATCCAATTAAATTATTTCTATAAATTGTTAGAGCCTTATTCCTGCATGGTGAGGTTATCGGGGGAGTTAATAAAATATGTCTGCTGGCTAAGGGGACCCTGGGAATATTGGCCTTTATTATCATCTGGTATCTGCTAGATGCCCTGGAGTGTCAGGGACCCAATCAAATGTACAGCAGAGTCTTCATTGCTATTAAATATCTCTGCTACCCATGCTGAGTTCTACAGGGGAATGAAGCCTCTTCAGCATTAGGGGAACAAATATGTCTCAGCAACATTAATATCTGGATCTTTCTTACTGTGATGTTAGTCTCCATTTTTTTAACCCTGGAGTCACAGCCCTACTTAGAGAAGGGAAGGGGTCAGTCGGTTCTGTACCACACAGAGCAAAGTGCATGTTCACACTGCTTCCCTAATGGGCACAAGGCCATGAGAAATGTAGCGATCTCAGCTCTGGAGATGCAGGTGCTAATAATATAGCTGGTCTCTTTCCCGCTCCACCCAATTTAGGAAGAAAAAGCAGCAGTTGCCAAAGCAAAACACTTCTTGGAGTCCAACTTGTATTCTGCAGAAGACCCCTACACCACAGCCCTGACTGCATATGCCCTGACTCTTCTGCACAGTCCCTCTGCTGCAGTGATGTTGCGGAAAATGAACAGCATGGCCATTATGCAAGGTACTATGCACCTGAGGGTCAAGCTGGCATGCCCCTCAAATAACTTCTACTGCTCTGAGGCTTCTCAGACAATGTACTCAGTACAGGCCTCCCCAAGGCACTTGTGGAAACAAGGTAACAACATTTGCCAGCTAGAACAAGTGATTTCAGTTTTCAGCCTGGGGAGGATATATCCTCTGAGATGAGGGCTTCCTCATAACATGAATCGACCTTTATAACATAGTTGTCCTGATTCTCAGGATACAGGGCAAAGTCCTTCAGCTGCAGACATTGGTTTGACTCCACCTTCCCTAGCTTCTAGCAGTATTGGTATGAGTGGCCTCTGCTGTGAGCAGTGTAAGTGCACCAGAGACTTTGCAGTGCCATTATGTGACATTTAGCATCCTTCTATGATGCCACAAAACTTGATCAGTGACACAAGATCTGATTCCGCAGATGGCTCCTCAGAATGCAAAATTCAGCAGCCTGTCAGCATTAATCCTCTGTTTCCTTCTGCCCCCAGCCAAAATAAATCCCTCTTTACAAATTGTTGTTAAGCACCAACAATGTAGTTAGTACTGTATGCAACCCAGAGGAATTCATAGTCCCTGCCCCAAGGAGCTTACTCTGTAAATGGAGTGGCAATGCAGTACAGGAGGTGGTTTGGTTTTAGAGCAAATATGTGACAGCAGAGTTTGATTCTCTCCATGTCTAGGGACTAGCTTTAACTTCTTTACTGCTTTACCATTCTAGATGGCTTTACACACTGGAGCTTAATGGGGACTCTGGTTACTGATGAAGATACATTCATGGGATTTAACGATGGGCTTTATCAATCAGGTACCCCTGTTTGTGGTTATTTATGATACTCCTGTTGGGGGAAAGACTGAGATTATTCTCTGTTGTTTTATATAATGCCTGCAGTGTCTTAACTGCTTTTCAGGTAAGTAAGAAGGGAAGGTCCCTGCCCCAAGGAGTTCACATTGTGAAGGCAAAAGAAAGGAAATGGGGTGCAACAAAAGTCCAGTGATTGAGTGGGGCAACATGCACACATCTTGTTAGTTGCATGTTTTTTATAATGCACTCTAATGTCCCTTTCACCCTCATTACGTCTGTGTTGTTAACAATTCAAGAAAGGAGCAGGAGAAGGCCGTGGCCAGACATTAAGAGAACTAGGAGGTGCAGAACCGGGTGTGGTCCATGCATTGCTGGCATTTCAGCCCATGTTGTCTCACCAGCTCTCCATAAAGCTTCATAGGAGATGGTGAATAAAATGGAGAAGAGCATTGAGTATTATGGGACTACTCAGGGGAGGAGTCATTTGCCATGGGAAATTAGAAGTGAAATATACTTAATTTTACAGTAACAGCTGTTTGGCCTAGGATTTTCAAAGGAGCCTAAGAGTGAGGTGCCCAGTTTCCGTTGACAGTCAATGGGAGTTGGCCATCTAATTCCTTAGTCTCCTTTGAATATGCCAGCACTAATAATTAACTATTTAAAACCCCAGGCTCCACTATCAAGAGTAATCATTGGGCTAGGTCAAAAAAGACCATGACTCTGCATGAAAAGTCCCATGACAGAGATGCAGAGTCAGCCATGCAGCTTGGGTGGCATGGAGGGGGAAAGGGAGCCAGTAAATTTGTGCAGGGGCTAAAAGTCAAGCAGAAGGAGTTGTGATCTGATGTGCCAGAGGAAAGATTAGATTGGAAGCTGACACATGAGGCCCATTTTGGAAAATGCCCGATGTAATTTGGGTACAGACATTTTTCACTGCTTCATTTGTCTCTTTCTGTCTTGGACTCTCTAGACCCTAAAGATTTTTTTAGCTTGTGAATCTACAGAGAGGTGATATCTAGCTCAGCCCAGTTTCCCTACTCCAGCTGTGGGTTTGATTGTTTTCCCTTTCAGTTGTATCTGCAGAAGTGGAAATGACAGCCTATGCACTGCTGACATACACACTCCTGGGAGATGTGGCCTCTGCACTTCCAGTGGTTAAATGGCTGTCGCAGCAGAGAAATGCACTTGGAGGATTCTCATCCACTCAGGTGAATTCCTGTCAGCTTGTGTAATTTCAGTACAGAAATATGTGCCAATCCAAATTGACTGATTTGGGACTAATCCGGGTTAGGTTTCACTCTGGAATCTAGGAGTCGTGCTAAATCCTGGGGCAGAGAATACCTCACAGTGCTCTTTATCATGCCTTTTGGGTGTGAGCAGCATGGGGTGAACTTGAATTTCTCTCTCACTTTCTCTGAGACTTCTGAGGGAGGAAGAGGTGCAGGGAGAGGGGAATGAAGCAATTCCATTTACTGTCTAAGCAAGTGCAGAGGAAACCTGAGCTGTCAGATGCTAATGCTAAATGCTAATGCTAATGCTAAACAGCACGTTGCTAGTTTATAAGGTGGATGCTCCTTGGTTCTTCATTAACTGTCTTTTCTTCCCCAATCCCGTAGGATACATGTGTAGCTCTGCAGGCTCTGGCTGAATATGCCATTCTTTCTTATGTTGGAGGAGTCAACCTTACCATTTCCCTGGCTTCCACTAATTTAGACTATCAAGAGACTTTTGAGCTTAACAAGATGAATAAGAAGGTTCTCCAGACTGCAGTGGTAAGTGGGTGCCTGAACAGATACAACTTCTTCTGCTTTAATGTTACCAGTTTCCCAAAGCGACCTGAATTTGGGTTCTGTGTTGTAACTCAGATCATTTCAGTGTGGCGGGGGAGGGGGGAATGGGCTGGATATTGTGAAATCTCAAGATTTTCTGCCCAACCTCTGATGGGAGAGGCAGCAAATACTCCGTTATGAGAGCATTCTTCATCATAACGGATGCCTGGTATTTGGTTTAGGACAATTACCACTGGCTGCTTGCGTTAAATATAGGGACTGAGGAACAGGGCCGGCTCCGGGGTTTTGGCTGCCCCAAGCAGCCAAAACCAAAAAAAAAAAAAAGCCCCGGCCCCCCGCCCAAAAAAACCCCCGACCGCGACCTGCCACGGCAATTTGGCGGGAGGTCCTTCACTCCCAGGCGGAGTGAGGGACCGTCCGCCGAATTGCCGCCGAATACCTGGAACTGTCGCCCCTGTCCGGAACGGCCGCCCCAAGCACCTGCTTGAGAAGCTGGTGCCTGGAGCCGGCCCTGCTGAGGAAGAATCTGCCATTTTTGTTCTGATTTTATATGGTTGCATGTAAACTGGAATGCTCTGTCACAAAGAGAGTAAAACCAAGGCTGACATGTCTTAACTGTGGATTCTCTTATGCTTGTTCCTAGATCCCCAGCATTCCCACTGGGCTGTTCGTAAGTGCCAAGGGCGAAGGCTGCTGTCTGATGCAGGTAAGGGTGCTGCCGGGCTGTGTAAAGGAGCTGAGAAGGTTACATTTAAACAGACAAGACAGTCTATTAAACATTAATTTCTTTCCAATCTCTTCCCCCAGTGATGAATTGGCATGGAGAGCCAACAAATAATCCTCTCTAAGCCTTTGCTATGTCTGTTTCTAATGTCTCAAGGAGGGTGGTACATGAGGGTGTGACTAGAAGTGACTGGGATGACATTTGAAAGTGAATATTTAGGCTGAATGTCAGGGAATGCTTCCTGATAGGGAGATGTCAAGCTGTGGGATAGTTTTATAAGAACATAAGAACAGCCATACTAGCCAGATCCATCTAGCCAGTATCCTGTCTTCTGACAGTGGCCAATGCCAGGTGCCCCAGAGGGAGTGAACAGAACAGGTAATGATCAAGTGATCCATTCCCTGTCGCCCATTCCCAGCTTCTGGCAAACAGAGGCTAGGGACACCATCCCTGCCCATTCTGGCTAATAGCCATTGATGGACCAATCCTCCATGAATTTATCTAGTTCTTTTTTGAACCCTGTTATAATCTTGGCCTTCACAACATCCTCTGGCAAAGAGTTCCACAGGACTGTGTGTTGTGTGAAGAAATACTTCCTTTTGTTTGTTTTAAACCTGCTGCCTATTCATTTCATTTGGTGACCCCTAGTTCTTGTGTTATGAGAAGGAGTAAATAACACTTCCTTATTTACTTTCTCCACACCAGTTATGATTTTATAGACCTCTATCATATCCCCCCTTAGTCGTCTCTTTTCCAAGCTGAAAAGTCCCAGTCTTATTAATCTCTCCTCATATGGAAGCCATTCCATACCCCTAATCATTTGTGTTGCCCTTTTCTGAAACTTTTCCAATTCCAATATAAGAGATGATAAGAAATTCTCTTTGGTAAAATCTCCCATCTGTAGACATTAGGTTTGGCAGTTGGAATGTCACTGTGAGCAGTGGTGTTACTGATGCAGGATGTTACTAGTAAATTGCTCAAGGTCCCCCACAAAATGTATGAGAGTCTGGTCTCTGCTCTCGTCTCTCTGGAAGAGTCGGGTGATGCTGCAGGGTCTAAACGATGCTTTTATTGCTTCACAGTCAATGGCACTAAAACCAGACCTGATTTTCCCCCCTCTTTGCTGCAGATTGATGTCACTTACAATGTGCCTGACCCTGTTGCTAAACCAGCTTTCCAGCTTCTGGTTAACCTGAAAGAGCCCAAATCAGAGTGTCATCGGCAAACTCAGCACCCCCTACGGCCCCTCTCTCCAGATGAGAATCGCTCAGAAGCCTCCCACAGAGAACGGACACTGGTGGATGATGATGACCCAGCTTCTGATCAAGATCACCAGGAATACAAAGTGATCCTGGAGACGTGCACTAGGTAGTGAAATCCCTTTATTTCCTTCAACATGGCTCTCTGTACAGGTGGGCTAGGCTTGTTACCAGCAGATCCTTCCACTAGTCCTTCCATTGCAAACCACTCCCAGATGTTCTTCCAGTGAGAATTGCATCCCGTCCCTACATCTATGGGGGTTTATAATGTGTTTTTATGGGATACATACTGTTATACTGTTCTTGCTGTGTTGTCCTTGTCTAAGATCAAGTAAGACAGAACAATTCACGTTTTATTTGTCCTAGTAGTCTCACTTGAATTGCTCAGGTGTTGAAGCCAGAATAACAGGTAAGATAGTTTGTGTCTGAGGCACTCATGAATAAATACCAAATGTTAAGAGTTGCAAATAAAGATAGGCAGGGAGTGTTTATTATTGGAATGGTTCCATCAATAATTTAAACTGATTCAGTAGGACACATGATTAAGACATTTTTAATCTGATTTTTTTTTTTTTTTTTTTTGCCTTTTCTCTCACTCTACCCCTTTGAAACTGATGTGTTTTCTTACTTAAACTACTTTGCCTCCCTGGAGTGTGCACATTGGTGTATTCTTGCAGTACGCCCATGAGAGCTGTGCTGTGCATACCTCCTTGATATTGTATGGTTACCCATGAGTGCTTGGTTGCTGGCTTTGATATTTTTAGTTTTGAAGCACTTTTTGAGAGGAGGAAAAACATGCACAAAGAATTTACCAATTGTTGGATAGAAAGGAGGTGACACTTGGAGACTACTGGCTCTGATTAAGCCTTTATATATTTATTATTGTCTCTTACAAAACCTGAAGAAAACAGACTAAACCATCTCATTACATCAGGTGCAAAAGAAAAAGTTCCAGAACATTTTCCACCGCTATATTAATGAAAGATTCCTTAGAAACCTAAAGGAGTTAGGTAATCCCAGTTAGGTAATTCTACATGAAACATGGCCATGGTTCTATAAATATTATTGACTTGACTCTAATTTAATGTTTATTTGAGTTGCTCAGGCTAGTCTGTTCAGTTTTGGATACAGAAACTCTAACAAAGGATGCTGGTTGCCATGGTATCAGTTTGGAATCCGATTGCTGGTATGGCTCTGTAGTCACTATGGTAACAGTGCAGTCTGTGAGATTATTTGGTTGACATGGTTCCCCAGAGCCGACTATTTATCTGCTTGTTTCTTATTAAAGAATGTTAGAAATTAGTTAGAAAAAATGTCTGGAGTGATACCAACACACACTGGTTTTCATCCGTAGAACTCAAAGTGTTTTGTAAAGGCTGTCAGCAGCCTTATCCCCATTTTATCGATTGGGAAACTGAGGCATGGGGAAGAGGCTTGCCTGTAGTGTTACAATGAGTGAGTTGCAGGGACAGGAAATAGAACCTCGCTCTTCTGACTCTTTCCTGTGCTGAATCCACCAGACTTTCACCCCAGGCTTGAAATCCTGCCCCTATTGTCAACAGATTGCTTTGGTTTCAAGGAGGTTTGTGGTAGGGCAGACTGAAGGGAAGGGAAGCCCAGAGCAAGAGTGAGGAGGCATTTACAAATGTCAAAGTGCACAGCAGATAAAACTGAAAATTCCCCAAATCTTCATAACCCTCTTGCATTTCCATTTCCGATATGCCAGGTGCTGGGGTTCTAGCGGTTAAAGAATTATCTGGTCTGGATGCCCTAAATCTCAGCAGCAGCAGCACAGTCACTCAGTGCCTCATCACAGCAATGGGAATGTCTGTGCTTCCCTGTCTGCTGCCACCTCCTCCCTGCCAAAGAGTTAAACACAGATATTGGATACAGTCCTGAAAACAATCTGTCAGAGTGACTCCAAACAAAGATAGGACTCTGTCGTCTCTAAACTCACCAAACCCTTCTTTCTGGCTCTTATGCTATGTTGCTGGCAGTCATGATGTTAATGAATGCCAAGGACCCATGAAATCCCCAGGTCTGGCCCCACATAGACTTGCATTTCACAAGCCAGCTTTATGCCTCCCTCTAGCAGCAATGTCTGAGTCTCAGGTCTTACTGCCCCTTGCACCTCCACTGCCGCATTTTGCTGGGGACCCTGAAAATTGTCTGGCCAGTTCTGTGTAACCACAAGAGCCTGTCCAGGTTCTTTAGCAAACTCTCCCTGGCTCAGAGGTTTTCACCTGCTGCTTTGCCCTCCTGGCACTGGGAGCTGTGGGTTTATGATCAGTGGAAGAAGGGGCATTTCTCAGGCCTGTTGAGTTAACTGGTCTCTGTGTAACTGCACCAGCATCTTACCAGATAGAGTGGTTCCAGTACCAGCTCTGCTTTGCACTCACGGCCGGCTCCAGGCACAAGCCTGGCAAGCAGGTGCTTGGGGCGGCCACTCCGGAGAGGGGCGGCACGTCCAGCTATTCGGCGGCAATTCGGCGGACGGTCCCTCACTCCCGCTCGGAGCGAAGGACCTCCCGCCGAATTGCCGCTGCAGATCGCGATCACGGCTTTTTTTTTTTTGGCTGCTTGGGGCGACCAAAACCCTGGAGCCGGCCCTGTTTGCACTCATGCAGCACATTTGTGTCAGGGGTTTGCACCAGTGTAGCTATATCATGTGGTTACTTAATGTTGGCAGGCCCTGACTCTGCTATTGCATGAGCATCTTGTGGGGAGGCAAGTTTGAAAGGTTCTTCATCTGTTCATTGAAGATGTCTGTAACTAAGGAGGCTGCCTTGCATCAACACAACCTTTCTGGTGTCATTTCTGAAACTTCTGCCATGGGAATTGCTAGAGCAAAGACAGAAATTTGAAAGGAAGCCCAGTCTGAGGAGATTGAAGTCTTGGACAACAAACAAAACCAAATGAGATCTTCCCTGCCCCTTAGTCCCCCAGTAAAGATGTTCTTTAACTTCCCCTGTAGAGCTTGAACGGGGGGCATATAAGGGTAGCAATGGGAATGCATCAAGCTGGAGTTGTTACACAAGAGGAAAATTGTTTATTTTGAGGAGTCAAGTGCTCAGATGGAGTCCTTGGGACATTTCCTTTTTGGGGTGAGACTGAATGAATATATGAATTTAGAGAAAAGAGAGTGCTCTACTGGAACAGGAAATGCCACTTTCTCTCTGAGGAGTTAGCTGGGTCTAAATCATAATTGCACTAATCTTCTTGTTGCAATAGTGCCACTGCTTCCATGCAGTGAGGAATTGAAATCAATGAGCATCTGCCCTCTTTGTAACATACAATGGATTGGAAGGATTCTCCTCCATCTGCTTGTGTTTTACCATAGAAATATGAGGAATGACAAGCTTTGTTTTCCCTGGCTTTGCTGGAGGCCTCATTGATGTTGCGGAGGATGATGTGCATAGTGAGCTCTCTCACATTATTTGAACAAGTGAGGATGTTTGACTGTAAGCTCTTTGGAGCAGGAACCATCTTTTTTTCTGTGTTTGTACAGCGCCTAGCACAGCAGAGTCCTGGTTCATGGCTCGGGCTCCTTGACACTACAGTAGTACAAATAATTATTAATAATAATCATAATAACAAAGACACTCTCATCCCTAGGTGTCAATTAGGCATTGGAATGAATTGGATGTTTACAAAATACCAGTTTTAACTAGACTAAAAATCTTCCCTTCCACATTGTGCAGTTTTTGCTCTTTTGTGATATGATATGTCCCCAATTCTCCAGTCACCATAGAGTCCCCCAGAGTAGACAGGATCCAAATTCGTATGATAAAACGCAAAGGGAAAAAACACACCCATTTGCTTTCCCCTCTGCAGTCCCCTTTAAGATGTAGTTCAGTGTTTCAGTTCAGCCCCTTGGTTTACTGGGCTTAAGCACTTCCCCTCAAATGAATTGTAGCCAACAATGTCTCCACCTCGGAACAAGGTTTCCTAACCAACTGTTTATAGAAAGTTCTGGACGAGCAGGATTGGCTGGCTTGGGACCTGGTAATGGGATATGAATTCCTTTAACCCCAATTAACCACTTCCAGCCCCAAAGGCCATGTCGGGGAAAGGCCATTTGGGGGTCTTATGTGTCCTCATCTCACTTGGCACTAATCAGTATCCTCGCTGGCAGACACAGCAGAGAAGCTAAGGACTAAACTGGTTATGGAGGGTTAACCAGCCTGTCACCTCTGCACTGCCTCTGTCCATGCCATACCTGTTCTTTTCTAACCATGGGAGCTCGCTCTCTAAGGATACGTCTACACAGCAAAAAAAAAAAAAAAAAAAAACCTACGGCAGCAAGCCTCAGAGCCTAGGTCAGCTGACTCTGGCTCATGGGGGTTGCGCTACAGGGGTAAAAATAGCAGTGTAGATGTTCCTGATTGTACTGGAGCCTGGGGACATAGACCCTCCCCCCTCGCTGGTTTCAGAGCCCAGGCTCCAGCCCGAGTGGGAGTGTCTGCAATGCTATTTTTAGCCCCATAGCGCAAGACCAAGTCAGTTGATGTGGGCTCTGGAACTCGCTGCCGCAGGGCTGTTTTTTTGTTTTGGTTTGGGGTTTTTTTTGCTGTGTAGATGTGCCCTTAGGCACTTCTCATGTATATCACATTGAGCCCAGTGTGTCTCTGCATTTCCTTTAAGATATGGCCATGCTTTTTTATTTACAGAGCCGCAGATAAAGCCCAGAGCCTTGCGGTTTATGTTTGTGACGCTCAATAAGAGCTTTGGATTGTATCATGAAGTTCTGCAAGTGGTGACCCTCAGGCTGAGTTATTCCATGTAGAGGTGGCTGAATTTCCATCTTGTCCAGGGTCACAAGACATGGGCATTATCTGAAGCGAGTCTGTGTATTTTTAATTACCCATTACCCTGATATCTAAGTGCAGGGCTGGGGAAAGGGATTCAGAGGCCCTGTTAGTGCCTAGAATGCCCCCCATCCACAAAAGTGGGTCTGTGCAGAGCTGCTGCATGTCTGAGCTACCTTTCTGCGTTGTTTGTTGTTTGCAATATACGTTGCACATGTGTGCCAAGGTCACCAATCCAGGGACTACTCTTTCTTATGCCTTAACCCATTCCCAGCAGGCCACTTGAGGGAGAAGCAGAAGCATTTCCTCCCACAAGGGGCCATTTCCCTCTGTCAGCAGCGCACTTGCCCAGTGATGTCCAATAATTAATAATTAGCCTAGCAGCCCCATGATAGACTGTATCCTTCTCCTCCTCTTCTGCCTGCCTTCCCACATCTTTGTGCTCTATGGGCTGCACTTAATTTTTGGCTAGCAAAAGCAGAGAGGAGTGTGACATTACACTCCATATTCTTTATGGAAATATGCTTATAATATGGATATAACATAACTAAGATATACTTTATGCAAGATGGATCTTGTAAGGTATCCTTGGAAAGGCTATGATTTACTGGGATGTGATTATTCAGTTTGTATGCATGTATCATGTCTGTATCTAAAGTTAGGAATATGGACTATGTAACAATTACAACTGGTGGTGTATTGGGAAGACACCCACCAGAGGACAGGCCATCAAATTTGATGAGCCATCAGGAAGGAACAACAAAACCATGAAGATACTAATCTCTCTCCCTCCTGGGGGGCGGGGGGGGGGAATTAACTGTGACACTACTAGGTCAGGTGGTCTTGTCACCTGATACTAAACATTACCTGGGACTTTTTGTAACTTTCCACTGGAAGGGAAGGGTGTATGTGTCAAGTTTGGGAAACAAAGGATTCCCGCCTTATGTAAATCCTATTTAAGGATGGGGAGGAAGGCAAACAGGACTCCTCGTCTCCATGGCCTGTCTGCCCAAGAAGAGTGCTAAAGCCACCTGAAGGGAAGGCGGCGGGGGGGGAGTCCAGACTGAGACAGGGGTCCAGTCTGAAAAGAAATATAACTGGAATTCTGAACTACAGAAACTTTGCAACCTGACTAAAATAATATTTAGGGTAAGGAATTACATTTTATAACCTGTTTCTCAAGTATATTGATCTTAGCTTGCGTACTTTGTTTTATTTGCTCAGTAATCTGCTTTGTTCTGTCTGTTATCTCTTATATTCACTTAAAATTCACCTTTTGTAGTTAATAAAAGTTGTTTTGTTTATTATTAAAACCAATTTCTGTAATTTCTAAAGGGGGGGGCAAGAAGTCATGCACATCTCTCTTCACATTGAGGAAGAGGGTGAATTTTATGAGCTTGCACTGTACAAATATTTCTATTCAGTGCAAGACAGTAGTATTTTGGATTTGTCTCCCAAAAGGGGTGGACACGTGAGTGCTGGGGGAGGGAGCCCTCTCACACAGAACTGACTTCAGTCTGTGTCTGCAGCAGGGTGTGGCCCTACCTGTGTGTGTGCTACAAGAGAGCCTAATTCAGCACAGCAGGGAGACGGAACCCAGGCTGATTTCGCAGGGGAGGATCAGTTAAACCCCAGCATATCAGGTGGCATCCCAGAAGCGGGGTCCAACCTGTCACAAGCAGCTTTTATAAAACTAAAGAGAATGTGGCTTTTAGCAAGCCCTTCAGTTGGGATTAGGTATCTTCTTCTCCTAGACCTTGGGTGTAACTTTTCTTTGAAAGCGTCTGTCTCAAGTCTGCTTCATCCCCAACTGCTCCAGGTATGGTTTAACTCAGGTCCTAACTTTATTCTCTCTCTTTTTATCCCCCTTGGGAAGGTGGCTGCATTCGGGATCGTCAAATATGGCTGTCTTGGAGGTGCCCTTGTTCTCAGGTTTCCGAGCAGATATTGAGAGCCTGGAGCAGGTAAGATGTTGTGATCAGAGTGCAGAGCATGTGCTTAGGGGTTGGCCTTGGCTCTTTCATTAGCAGGGATTCCCTTTGAGGCGCTTGTGGAGGTAAATGCCATATTATGTGAGAAGAGATGTAATTAAAATCAGAGGGTTGCAGATTTCACTTGTCAGAAAATATTTATCTGAAGTGGGGAAACAGATGTTCTGAGTAAGATTAACAAATTTACCTAACTCAGCCAAATAAGCCTTTATTACTGTGCATGGCTCATGGTAATTAAATGAGACTCATTTGGAAAAGCTGAAGTGAAAATGTGCTCCAACAGGAGCTGTTTATGGCTTCTTAGGGGCTGTATTATCTCCAACATCTGGATTCGATTTCATTGGAGGCTCTGTGTCTTGGAATTTTTTTTTCTGGGAGAACATCATGTTTATTGCAAGCCAAACTGAGGTGGACAGAATGTGCCTCTTGCCCAGCCAGCCCTCTAGAAGGGAGGAACTACAATCTTCAGATTCGCTTTAGGCTTTGTTGCAGCATTACACTGTTTTCATTGCTTTTTGATATTATAAATAAAATTGTTAGTGACGCTCTATCTGAAGAGAGAAAAGGAACTAACATGCTATCTCTGAGAAACAGCAAAAGAGCTAATCAGGAATTTCTCTACACAACAGACCTCTTCCTTTAATGGCCTTGTCTTTTCCGTGGGGGGAAAAAGCTGTGTTCATAACTCAAGTTAACTAACAAGGTACAATTCTACTGAAGACAAGGCAGTTTAATTTGACTTTCTAACTCACGTGAAGACTACAAACTGCCTTGTCTTCACTAGGATTGTACCTCAAGTTAGTTAATTTGAGTTGAGAATGCACCTTTCCCCCCCCCCAGTGAAGATGAAGCCATTATGTGCATCTTCAGAGGGCTGCAGTTTGAGTCAAAACTTGTCCTCAGATACTCTCACATAACTGTCACTGAAGCCAGTGAGATTGTTTGTTAGTATCTGAGAATAGAATTTGACCTTTTATGTATTAGGGGAGCATGTATACTTGTTTTTGTGCAGATATATACGCCTGTAATGCATGGAGCATTTACTTTAAAAGAAAATGGAAAAGGTTTTGTAAATATGGGTAGCAGGATACAGTGTGTGTGCACCCTTGGAATCTCCAATCTGCTGTGTTTTAAATATATGCATTTGAAAATTAAGTTTTCTTTCACTTACCGGCTAATTCCTGAGTCTGGGATTCTCTCTTTCCCCTGCAACAAGTGGAACAATCATAAATGCCTAAAGCAGAGTAGAAAGTGCAGGAAAACCCAGGTCAAATTGTGGGGAACCCTAGAGTCCTTGCTATAGAGATAGTAATGTTGAACCTCTCTTCTGCTTCTTTTTCACAGACTGCAGAGGATGTGTGGGTAGTACATATGTTGCCTATAGGTAATGGGAGGTTGCATATCAGTATAAGGAAATATCACCAACAGGAGTCTTCCATATTGCTGTGTGGAAGATAGTGAGGAAATAACTGAGGGGCCTATGTTGGTCTTGGTTTACGTTTGGATTACTTCCTGTGGAAGTGCTATAAGTAAAGGCAAAAGGATATGGGTGGAAAACTGGCTTAGGAACAGGAGATGCAGGGCAGCTTTAGAGCAGATAGTAACATTCCCAGTTGGAATCACTGTCAGGACCTCTTCTCTGTTAGCCAGAGGGATGGATGATGAATAGGTGAGCTGATACTGTTCTGAAAGAAGGAGGCTATTACTTTGAAGGGGGCACATACAGATCAATGGAGAGAATACCAGCTGTAAGGGCTAAGGGAGTTGCTGGGCTTATTCTCCTTGCAGAAGAGGAGGCTCTGAGGTTTCAAAAATAATGGAAGGGACTGATTGTTGCTAACAATAAATTGTTCACACTGGAGAGGGGATCAAACACCAGGAGTGAAGTGCGAGCGCTCCTCTGTTGGACAGAATTGCATTACACAAATGGGACTAAATCTTTGGAATATGTTACTGAAAAGGGCAATTGAAGCAAATAGTATAAAAGAGTCTGAGAGAGGTCCAGGAAAAGCAAGGAGTGAAACACTAGAAAGCACTGGCATATTGGGCTAAGAAGCCAACCCCAGGGGCTCCTTATATTCCTGGTAGGGCCTGATGCAGCTAAAGAAGCAGTAGGAGCTCTCAGGACCCAGGACACACTGTGTTGGCCTAACCTGCGCCTCCCCACAGCACAGGAACATTGGAATGAGCCGCTGGGGTGGATTTTCCTCTTGGGGTTTCAGGTGCTGACACTTTCTGGAGGCTGCAAGGTTTATGTGTCAGTTAATCCTAGAATGGTTTTGGCCAAGAGAATTGTGTTCTGGTATTAGACTGATTTCATGGCTATGCCAGCCAAGTGTTTCTCTAGTACATGGAGGGAATGAATTAGTGAGGTTTGTTCTGCACAGAGCTATAGATAGAGAGTTTTAAAGTAGGAGCAATTCCACTCCTGAACAGAGGGCCAGCACAGGGCCTGTTCAGTACTCACACCATCAAGACTTAGTGGTTTATGCTGGCACTCTGCTCAGGGTGAATTTCACTCATTCTGAATAAAGCCAGCTTTACTAGTAGTTTGATGTGTGGTTAACGCCAGAGTGGATGTACCATGATCTAGGACAGGGGTTCTCAAGCTTTTTTCTTTCTGAGACTCCCCCAACAAGTTATAAAAACTTCACGGCCTGCCTGTGCCACAACAACTTTTTTCTGCATATAAAAGCCACAGCCAGCATTAGGGAGTTGCAAGCAAGACTGTTGCCTAGGGCCGCACACCACAGGGGGCCCCGCAAAGCTAAATTGCCCAGGCTTCGACCTCAGACCCAGGTGGCAGAGTTCAGGGCCCCAGACTTCAGCCCCGCATGGCGGGGCTTCAGCTTTCTGCCCTGGCCCCAGCGAATCTAACACTGGCCCTGCTTGGTGCATTCCCTGAAAGCTGTTTGCACCCTGCCAGGGGGCCCTGGACCCCTGGTTGAGAACCACTGATCTAGGATTCAGGAACTCCTGAGTTTTAATCCCAGTTCCCCCACGGATTCACTGTGTGATCTTAGCCGGTCACTTCTTCTCTCTGTGCCCCAATATCCTTCATCTGTAAAATAAGGATAATACTTACTTGCCTCACAGGAATGACTACTCTGGCAATTAGTTAATAATCGCACAGTGCATGGCACATGCGAAGTGGCCTGTACATGCTAACTGTTCTATTCAGCACCCAGGCACTTTAATGATGGATGAGTCAGAAAGGCCTTAGCCTTCCAGTGGGTGGTCATAACAAGCTTTGGGCACTGCACCACAAATCTGCCACAGAATATTTGAGACACGTGGGACCCCAGGGATTCGGGTGTCCCATTTAGCACCCTCATGCCAATGTCGAGGCGCTGCAGGTCTCCCTTCCAAATGCTGACGTGCATCCTGGGGGACAGAACAGAACAAAATGGGGAACATATCCAAGCCGGAGTAGAGAAGGGGTCAAAGACCGACCCACACTGGATGTATTGTTAAATACATTATATCTGGGAAGCATCGTATGCGAGTTTAATATCCCTCCCCTGTCACAGCTGAATGATCTCTCCAACACATTAGGCACACACAGGCATTTCTCAAGCACTGGGCACAAAGGTCTGTCTTTGCTTCCTCCCTATAAACAAATGTGTTTGTGGTGGCCTTTCCCATCTCCCCTTTCCCTAGATCATGATCTCCCCTGTTCCCAGTACCCCCAGGGTTTCTGTTAGGGAGGGGAGGCAGTAAAGGATCTCAGTTCACCAATGGTCTATTGTTGTTTGGGGGTGGAGGGAGGGGTATGCCCTTTAAGATGCTGGTTCCATAGAGTAACAGATAATTTTCTTTCCCTATTGCTTGGGGGGGCGGGGGGAGAGTTGATTACACTTGCTTCTTGATGTGAAGATTGAACCCATGAAGCACCCAGAGCATGAAACATCTGTGCTGAGAGAGATTTAACTGCGGGCCGCTCCAGCCTCTTGCCTTTGGAAGCAGCACTGCGATTTGCATAGCTCTTACTGCCCGGGAGCTGATTCAGATTCAACCAGTCTGCAAGTCCTCTGAACCAAACACTCTGCAGACAGCACCCCTGTCTGAGGAAACAGTTGTTTGTATGGGAGAAGGTGCTGAGCAGTCCATTCCCACAGCCTTCTCTGGGGCTGCAGCTGAGTGATTCCCACTGCAGATAAAAGGAGTCATGCAGCTAAAAGATATAACTCCTTCAGGGAGCAATTTGCAAAGGTCTGTGGCCCAGTCTCCCTTTCTGCAGGTGCAATTTGCACCCACAAAAATGAACTGTAGGTGGAGATCTCAATTCTCACACCTGTTGCACTTGGAGGCATTGCACAGATATGCACTTGCAGTTCAGTTGTGACACAAAATGTGCATGCAAATTGTGCCTACAAAAGGAGGCTGCTCTTTTTAACACATAGCCCCAAATGTGCCTCTTGTTTGGACCACTTTATTTGTCATTAGAGACTCAAGACATTCCTATCTCTGTGTTTTCTTGCTGCTCCCACTCTCTTCCCCCACCCCATGCACTTACCCCCATGTCCTAGGGGGTTTTATAAATCAGCTTTCCTCGTTAGGTGTTTGCACTCACAAGGGAATAATGTGCACAGAGGGGATTCCCATGGAGCTCTGGGGATGGGGATGGTTAATGAAGAGGCAGCCCCCCTTACTGTGTAGCAACAAATCCTCCTAATAGTGCTGGGTGTCGACAAGGTCAGGGGTCACCACAGGCTGGCATATCAAACTTCACCAAAAAAATGCAACTTTAGCTGAGCAGAGCATTTCCCGGTGGCGCCAGTCTCACCGAGCCCTCATAAAAGGGCTGTCTGCAGCCGTCCATGGCTGAGTAATAACAGCCACCACCAGGCCCCTAAAATTATACGGACAAATTAAATTGGCCCTTTCCATATTGTGTGGGACTTAAACACATGTTCCTTTTCTTGTTACAGTAATAGCAGGAAGCTGTGCGCAGGGTTTTACAGCTCTGAGCAGCACACTAAAGAAATTCACAGCTACAAATATTAGTAGCAGGTTGGGTGAATTGCAGTGCATGTGCTTGTAGCCCCACATTGTATCTCTTAACAAATAATAATAATGCCTTGCCCTCCTTTCCATTGGGCATTAATCCTGGGTTCTCAAAGCACTTTAGGAATAGTATTTTAAGAGTTGTATGAAAAATATTGTTCTCATATCACAAATGGATCAACAGAGAGGTTAAGGGAGTTGCCTAAAATCACACAGAGCACAGTTGGGAATAGAACCCAAGCATCCAGACTTCTTCTAATCCACTGGACATCACTCCAGTGGATTTAATAGGAATCTGATTAGAAATGGTTTAAACCTATAGAATTTAATAGGGAGCAAGACCCTTTCTATGGACCTATGAGGCATCCTATAGCATTCTGTAGTAGGGATATAATTATCTGTTTCTGTGGAATGGCTCATTCATTCAATAGTCATGTTATTTTCTGATAAATTCTCTTGAACTTTTCCATAAGGGTAGTAATCCTGCTGCACACACAGCACAGGGAGAACAGCTCTCGGGACACTGATGAACAACGCCAGATGACGTGGATTTCAGGGAGCCAGCACTTTAGGTGTGGGTCTTGCTCTGAAATCCCCAGTGTTTGCAGATCATCACAGTACAGTAATTGATGAGCATGTGCAGAATAAGCATAGGTGCCTGGCTAGCACAATGTGTACTGCGATTCCCTGTGGCTCCAGAGGTAGAGAAGGTGAATAGTAGGGGCTTGGCCTGACCTCCTTATCTCGAGGGGGGGTGCCGAGGGCTCTTTCAGATGGCTGCTCTTTTCAAATGTAAGGATTAATTTTCCTGGCAGAAGAATGTTTTGAGTTGTTTGAGCCAGCAGCAATGGAGGGAGGGGGCCTTTAATACCCAGTGCGGTCCATCGGCATAATTCCCTGGCAGACTGAGGGAGTGTAAACAAGAGACTGCACTCTAGCAAGTGTTTTGGGGTGTCTGGGGTCCTGCTTGAGCCTTGGTACTGAAAATAATCCAGGAGCTACTCAGTTAGATTATGGATGAAATATTAGATGAGTTCCTGTGGGGATAAGCATGGCCCCCAATAACTAGCAAGTGCTGCACCATAACATGTTGCACCTCACAGGACACTTCACACCATAGACAGATCGCATCAGAAAAACACAAACTTAATTTCCTCCTGGTTTATCTGGAGGCACCTGTGACCCTGATTGCTGGACCACCAGCACCTCATCCTCCAAGGTAATTTTCCAACAAAGAGAAGTTGTGTTTTCTTTAGGTTCTGATCAGGTGTTTCCTAAGCACTTTGGAAAGCTTTGTTTTTCTGTTGACTGCAAAATATTTTCCATAAAATGAGTTTATGATAAACCTCTTAATTTCCTTCCAGTTATTAATGAACAAGCAAATTGGATTAAAAAGATATGAAGTTGATGGAAGAAAAATCCTTTTTTATTTTGATGAGGTAATGACTTTGTGTATGATTTTATTATTTTTCTATGTTAGGATAAGGAGAGAGAAATGATCAGTGGATCAGGCTTAAATAAAATAACAAATACTTTGCCTTTGATAGCTCCTTGCAGATGAGGATCTCAGTACAAACTTTAATCGGACCTGCAAATCAGTGCATACCTGGGAGAGGGAGCTGGTGTCTTTTCTGCCTTGCTCATACGCAACAGAATCTTTAACTAAATTCCATTTGCAGAACAGTTTATGATTGATGATGCTGATGCACAAGCCAGAGAACACAGCTTGGGTTTCAGCTGCCAGGCTGAGTTTGTGGCGCTGACACACTGCCCCCAGTGCAGGATGTGCCTTACACAGGACTCAGCTGGACCTGTATCTTACTGATCTATGTTTTTATGCCACACTTGTCTCAGCACAGTAAACAGCTTGGTATTGGAAGGTACCTTGGTTAGTGCAGGTATCTAGCACAGTGAGAGTTGAGTTAAATGGTGCACACTGTATAGCATTAAGCAGCTGGCTTACTCCACTGACTTTTAGAACTGCAGACCATGTTAAACTAAAACTCTTATGCCCTTTGTGCAGATTCCTAGCCAGTGCATGACCTGTGTAAAATTTCAAGCCTTCAGAGAGTATATAGTTGGGAAAACTGCCCCTGTCCCCATCAAAGTGTATGATTACTATGAGCCAGGTATGTGCTGTTTGTCTTTGGATTTTGCTAATGCTAAAGCCCTAGCCGCATGGCTTGTTTATAATTTGTCATTCTTGCTGCTCTGTAGCTTTCGAAGCGACTCGTTTCTACAATGTGAGTGAAAACAGCCCCCTGGCTCGGGAGCTCTGTGATGGGCCAACGTGCAATGAGGTGGAAAGCTCAGCCAATCATTGGGTTGGTAAGTTGCAGCAAAGATGAGCTGGCAATCTCTGAAAGCGGAATCCAAAATGTGTATAGCTTGGGAATTCAGAACTGAGAGTGGGGGCTTTAAAAAGAGGTTTATTTCAGTGTCTAGGGGCTTCAGTAGTGGGTAGTTTTTAAATGCCTGTGATGAGCATAGAAATGACTACAGCGAATCAGACCAATGATGCATTTAATTTGGTCTTCTGTCACCATCAGTAGCTAGTACATGTTGCTTTTTTTTTTTTTCCCAGAAGGACAAGTAATGTACAATTATGGAATAATCTCCTAATGAGGGAAGTTTCCTCCCGATCTCTGTCAGTTATTGGTTGGGTTATGCACTGAAAATGAAGCCTTATGTCCCTTATAATTTTCTTAATCTTTTATCTTAATTGTGGATGCTGCTATTATTCATTCATATAAATGTTGCGATTTTTTTATCCTAAGTTCTTGACCTCAATAACAACTTGTGGCAGAGAGTTCCACAAGTTAATTATGTAGAAAGACAGAGTAGTTTCATGTGTCTGCCATGACAATAACTTCTTCCAAGACTACCTATTTCTTTCTGTCCCATGTGATGCACAAATTGGTGTGTGTGGGGGAGAGCTGTACCATATACAGACTTGAAGTATTAGAGCCATTGTTGCTGGTCTATTCCCACAGCTTCAGTAAATTCATAAACTCCTGTTGAGAAGCTGCAGGGAATTTTTATAAGGAAAAAAAAAACGTCTAGGAAGCACAAGAAAAAAAACAATAAAAATATCCTCTTTCCTCTGCTTCTGATGTTCCTGCTTGCATTTCAGGTTTTGTTCACTCTGGGCCATGCAACAATGTTTTTGGCTGTTTAGAAGATGAGTATTTTGAGCAGTGCATGTGCTCCCGGGACTGTGGCTATGATGGGGAGCCAGTGTGTGGATCAGATGGGATGATTTATCAGAACCATTGCCAGATGGAGGTAGCATCCTGCAGGAATAATACAAGGATAGAGCAGATACCTATGTCTCAATGTTCTGCCTGTAAGTTCCATTCAGTTTCCTGTTCTGGTGTTACAAGTTAGCCAAGGCAGTCCACAACCTCTCCTGAACAAGGTCTGCTGATTAAATTGTGTCTGATGTGGACAAGTGGAGGATTTGAACTCCATCTCCAAAAGTGAAAAGGTAGCTCCCTGTCCTACACATGAGCTGGTCCTTGCATTCGGTAGAGTTGCCAGTTTCCTGCTGTGCTGAAATGGTCACAGTTGGGTTTGCATATCTCAAGGACGAAAGGACCAGTCAAAAAGAACCTCAAGGAATTTCAGTGGCTCCATTTATATTCATCCACAGTGATGTCTCCAGATATAAATGAGCCCTGTGAGAGATCTCTGAAAGATATCGCATGTGCTTTCATCAGGTGCAGTGTGGCAATTTGACAAACTGTGCTGGATCATGGGTAGGGCACTGTGAAAATCATGGTTTCATGGACTGCACAGAAATCCCAAAATTAGCCCAATACTGTGATTTGTTCTCCAACAGTGAGGAAGCAGAGATGGGTACCCCTCTTCTACCTCCCCACTGAGGCTACAGCTGCTCATGGGGCATTAGCGGGCCAGTCCCATGCCAGAGGCAGGCAGTGAAGTGGTGGGTGTGATGGGCAGGTGGGTGTCCTCAACAATGGACAGGGTGATGAACGCCACCTGGATGAGCAGACAAAGCCAACTGTGTGTAGATGGCACCATGTGGTTGAATCTGGTCCGGCCCAGTCCTGCCTGGGCAAAGGATCAGGGCTTGTCTCGCTTCACCCTCAGCGCCAGCTGCCAACCGCTGCTTCCTGTATGGCCAGCGGGGAGAGTGGGTCAGCACTGACAACATGGCAATTAGGAGCCCTGGCCTGGCCCACTTCACTGTGGCCCCTGCAGGCCTGGAGGAGAGACATAGGGTTACTAACCCTTCAGGATTGTCCTGGAGTCTCCAGGAATTAAAGATTAATCTTTAATTACAGATTATGTATTGTGATGAAACCTCCTGGAATATATCCAATCAGAGTTGGCAACCCTAGGGAGACACCACTGTGCCAGCTGGCTAGGAGCTGAGGCAGATCCATCCCACCACCTTTCTCCCCTTGGTGGGGCAGGGCCCCCTCACACCATGGCAAACCCCCCCCCCCCCATACACCCATACACTGACCTGCCTGTGTTCTAAGTGGTGGCAGTGCTGAATGCTGTGCTGGTTACAGTGTGGGGATTGATTCCAGTCTCCGCTCCTTTCCAGATGGCACTGAGGTGTCTCCCCAAGGGCTGTGAGGGCCACAGTAGGGCAGAGAGGAAGCAGCAGGGGCGACCTGGGCCAGAGCTGAGGACAGAATGAGCCAGGCTCCGATCCCTGCCCTGGGCTGGGCTGGCACCATGTGGTTCATCTGCACATGCTGAGCTGGCTCTCACTCCACAGCCTTGTTCCTCACCTTGGTTGTTGGTGAGACATCCTGTTGTCCCCTCTACACTCCATAGGTTAGGGCTGGCCCGCTAACCGCCCACAAGCAGCCACAGCCTCAGAGAGGAAGCAGAAAAGGAAATTCCCACTGCCAACTCTCCCTCTGTTGGAAAATCACAACAGTTCAGGGTGGGGGTGGGGACTTGGCAGCCATGCATATTCTGTGAAATTTGAACATTTACCCACGACACTGCCATCAACTTAAAAAAAAAAAAATCCAGAACTTTCTCCATCCTTAATCATGGGGAACTGAAACATTTTCTAGTGGTTCTGTAACCAACATTGTGGCAATTGTATCATTTCCTTCTACAGCCAAGAATTTGCCAGAAGAAAGAGAAACACATTTCCATGGAATTGAGCAGCCTAGCATTCAACAAACTCCTGCAGGTATTGTCTTGTCTTTAGATTGATCTAAGACCCTTTTTCTTCGATAAGGTTAAAGCTGATCACTAAGAATAAGTGACTCAAGTACTTTTTTTGCATTTTGCAAAAAAAATGCAAAAACTAGGTAGAAAATCTGAAAGTTAGAAAAAGTGAGAAGGTAGGAGAATTTAAGCCAAATGAATCCACAAATGCAAGCCTAGCTCTTCTTGTCCCGTTTTGAAAAAATGAACATGTGCTGCCTCCAGTGCACATGGGATCCTGAGATTTAGTGGCAGCTAGTTATGTATGGAGAGGGGCAGGTGAACGCCAAACCCTGGGATATGGGGAGCTTGTATTCAGCAGCTGTCATAGCATCTCATTAGCAGTGTTAAACTGAAAACTTCCCATTTGAGATCAGACTGGTGTAGTTTGTCCTAGCAAATGAGTCAGGGGGACTTGGTGCCAGCTGGACCATTTGCAGGAACCCTGGAGATTGCAGCTGAATCAAGTTTATCCTTAACTATTCTGTTAAACTTTTCAGATGGCTGCTCTGATCCTGTTATTAAAGCCTCTGTCTGGGGTAAATGGCCTTAATAAGTGCAAGGTGAAGGGGAGTGGGAAGGAGCTGCCACTTTACTGGGTTTGAATGAATTGAGGAAGCTGGCTGCTCTTTTCAGTTGGTGCTTTTATTTATGGGAAGTTTTTTCCCCAAGATTCGTATGTCAAACTTGCTCATGAGTTACAATAAATCTTGTGAGGAAGCATTGGAGGTGGGTCAATAGAGTAGTTGTTTCACACCGTTTCTAGTAAATAAACTGGATGGGATTTTTCCTGGCTGCTTTCCACTCAACAATTCTTCCTTGGGCTCAAACTCTCCCAACAAATCAGCAAAACAAATAGTTTCTGTAGAGTGAGAAGTACATGAACAGAAGCTGTGTCCCCCTCCATCTTCCATGTTCTCCTGGCACTGATGCTCAGACCACATATATCCAGCCCCCTCATGTTCCCTGCCCTTCCCCTGCTCAGCAAAAGCTACTGGGCAGCTTTTCAAGATATATAAACATGGTGGATATTCTGTTTTGAGTGTTCCCACAGGTGACCTCACCTGGGGAGTTGCAAACTGATCTAGTCAGTGTGTGTCATGCTCACACTCACTCTCTCTAGATTTTGATAGTGCATAAATCAATTGATTCTCCATAAGAGTAAGTGAGATGGATGCTTGTTTTTTTCTAAGCTTTGTAAATCTGGTCTGCTCTGTATCTTTCTTCCAATTGCATCTGAATCCTTTAAAACATTCACACAAGGAAAAACCACTGAAACATATTCTATTTAATGGCAAAAAAACCCAACTATGTTAATGCAGAGTTAAGGTTCCTTGATGGTATATTATCGCCTTGCAGAATACTGAGTTGAGCAAAATTCAGACTTCTGAAAACCAAGAAATGCCCCATTAACACACATACCTTTATTCTGATAACCCCACAGTTGCTGAAAGGTATAAGCTCTTCATCACCTTTCACAGCCCATTTACTCTCACCCACAGGACACCATCTATTAAAGGACAAAAAAAGATGGGGGGGGGGAGGAACATACCCCCTGCTACCTACCTTTTTTTGGTCCCTTGGAGCTGGCAGTAGCCAATGGGAATTATTTGCACTCCATGTGCAGTCAGTGTGTTAGTCATACCTACTGGTGGAGGCAGTGGTTGGGTCTCCTTGGTTTATTTATTTGGCATATTCAAGTCAATCAAGCCAAGCCACAGTGTTCTTATCAGCAATATTAAAGGCACGAAGATCTCTAGGAAGTTGAGTAATTTTGCAGTCCTCAACAATGTGTGTCATGGTTTGTGGCTGCCCACATTGACACAGTGAACTGTCTTGAAAACGCCACCAAAATTCTGCTGCAGCACAAATTCAATTTCTGGTACAAAACTGGTTCAGAATCATTGTCTGGAATTCGTTTGATCGGTTGACCGAGAGTTGTGGTAATCCTCGAATTCTGTCTGCTCGTTGGATCATCCGTTTCTCCAGTCCGCAGACAAGCTGCAACTGGTTACTTATGGGAGATGTGTCATGAATGCTAATCCATTGTCCCCCGTCCCGTTGGTAAAGGTGTGTCTGTGATATGAGGACATGTGTGGATTACTTTGAGGCATGTAACAGAGATGTGATTATGATATGACGAGATATATGTTTTGGACTCTGATGCATGTGAGCAAAGGGAAGAGCTGCATGTGTATCTTCATTTCACTGCAGAATTGTGTGTGTTATATAATTACCAGGGGAAGGGGTTTTATTACAAAGAGTATTGTCAGTAGTGAGCTGGGGTATGAGAGCATTCTAAGCATTTGTTATCTGCATGAACTCCAGGTAATATGAGTGTAGTTGGTGTCAGGGGGTCCTTCCTCGCTCCTGGTCTTCGGGGCACTTCGGTGGCGGGTCCCGGAGCAAGTGAAGGACCCGCCGCAGAATTGCCGCCGAAGACCTGGAGCGTGGAAGGACTCCCCCGCCGCCGAATTGCCACCAAGGGCGGCAAAATGCTGCCCCCCCAAATCCTGGTGCCCTAGGCAACCTCCTAGGTTGCCTAAATGAAAGCACCAGCCCTGCCTGTGGCTGAGAATGAATAGGTTGTAAAAGGAGATGAAGAGCTTGTACATTTCAGCAACTGTTGGGTTATTAGAGTAAAGGTATATGTGTCTACGGGGCAAATTGGTGCAATGCTGAAAGAGGGTAGAGTTAAGGTTGCATGGGCCTCATGCCTCACTCACCTGAGCCACCAACCTCTCTCCTCTGCCCTGCCACCCATCTGCATTTATTCTCCCTCCCCTCACTGCATGGGCAACCTTAACTGTGTGTTCCCTGGTTTTCAGAAGTTTGAGTTTTGCTCAACTCAGCATTCTACAAGGCAACAACATATCACCAAGCAATCTTAACTCTGTGTTAATTTAGTTGTTTGCTGCTGGATTTTGTAGTTATTTTTAACAGGAAAATATATGTCATTGATAGGAGTTAGTAATCATTTAGGTAGTTGTACCATCATACCAAGCCAGCCAGTCACCCCACACACGTACACATCAGCAGGACCCCACCTGCTCTGCTTTGGCCCACCTCCCCAGCCCTGCCACTAACCCATTCCCCTCCAACCTAGTCCCCTCCCCACTACTGTACCCAGGCCTCCCAGTGTAAGCAGGGAACACATCTTCTTGAAGTCCTCATTCCCTGGTATGCAAACATTTCTGTTGCTGATATTTCCCCCCTCCAATAACCCAACTTGCATGCATTGCCGTAGTAAAGGACAATTACAGCTACTGTAGAATGGTGTTCCTGGTCATGTGTCAAAATGGGTGTGTGGGGGGGGGGGAGTTTGTGACAAGGCCAGTGAGACAAATCACAGACAGGATATATGTTCCAAAATACTGACTTTATATATTTGAGAAAGAGATCCTCTGAGCTCTATCCAATAGATGTACCCTCTCTCCAAGAACAGTGAGGTGTCAGCGCTTGTAATGTTTATATGCCAGATAGTACATTTTCCAGTCAGCCATGAACCCTCCAATTTCCTGATTAATGTTCTTCCAGCACCTAAAATAGCTTTCATATCATCACTGTAGCAATTATTCAGACACTTAACCAAATCAGAGAAAACTATCACAGCTCCTGGACATACTTCTGTGATGTGGTCCAAATCTGCTCTCATACATTGTACATCAGAAATAAGTCCCAGATCATTTCTGCCTGAGTGAGTCATCACAACGTCAGGTAAATCATCACCTTTTAAGTCACTGCTGCAGAGTGCGAAAAATATTATGCCAGTGCAGGCATCCACTCAAATAAGCCTGTAGTTAGCAGTCCCCATGTCATGGTGTACTCCTTGCTGTCCCAAAAATGTCTGTAACCTTGTAATCTAGGAATTGCCCAGAATCCACACATTGGCAACGCTAGCCCTGCACATGTTGTTTTTTTTCCCCCTTAGCTATCAAGGTACCTGCACTGTCAGTTCCAATCCTCTGTGCTGTTTGTCTGTGGAAACATCACATTAATCTGCCCTGAGATCAGGTACTAGCCACTTGCCTCCACCCTGGCCTTCCCCCTGTGGGGCTAGTAAAATATCAGTTTTTCAAACAGCCAGTCTAAGGCTTGCCTATCATCCAGATCCATAGTGGGGCAAGAATGTGGGGTTAACAGGTGCCCCTGTTCCTATTGCCCCCCAGTTTCCCTGCCACTCACCCCCACATCTCCTTTCAGACCCCTCATCCTCATGCCTCACTCACCTGAGCCACCAACCTCTCTCCTCTGCCCTGCCACCCATCTGCATTTATTCCCCCTCCCCTCACTGCAGCCCCAAACCCTTATCCCCCTATTCCCCTACTTCTCTGTCCCCTAATATTCCTCCCCTCCCAGGAAGCATTCACATGTCTGATTTTTTTTTTCTTCTTCTGAATACTTTGATTACATTCATCCCAAAATAAAACTGCCACCCATGAATCACACATTGCAGCGACTTCTGGCCACTCAGTCCAAAATTACTTTTCTCTTGGGGAGAGAATGGGGCGCTTGTGATTCACATATCCTCAGTTGTGTTATTGGAAGGGTTAGTGCAGAGCCACCAGTCTCAACGAGGTCTGTGACTCATCAAGTCAATAGTACCTCTCAGTTTAACAGTGCAAGGCAGCAGAAGGAAACCATTTTTGGGGATACCTGTAACTCAGGAGCCCCTTTGTCAAATGACTCCAAATTTGGATCACTAATGTTACCCCATGCCACAGTGAGACACTCCAAATTTCAAAGCAATCCGAGTAATCATTTGGATTTTAGAGCACTTACAAGAGTTGAGATTTAAAACATCGGATGGTGGGAAACCCTCTAGCTGTTTTTCTGCATTGGTGTATGCAGACTGTAAAAAATGTATATTTTCTTAAATACCATTCTCAATTTGGGTCCCCCAGACAGGGCCGGCTCCAGGGTTTTTGCCGCCCCAAGCGGCAAAAAAAAAAAAGCCACGATCGCGATCTGCGGCGGCAATTCGGCGGGAGGTCCTTCGCTCCAGCTGGGAGTGAGGGACCGTCCGCCGAATTGCCGCTGAATAGCTGGACGTGCCGCCCCTCTCCGGAGTGGCCGCCCCAAGCACCTGCTTGGCAAGCTGGTGCCGGCCCTGCCCCCAGAGTTCTAGTGAGTGCCTTGCTTTACCTTGGGTAAAACCTGATGGATTTTGATCCACATCACAGCAATAGTTTGGCCTCTAGTCAGAGGCCGTGCTAGCTCATTGGGGTCCTAAGCAGGAATATTTTTGGGACCCCTCACCACAACACATAATAAAAAGCGAATAGGAGGCCCCCTTGAGCTGCTTGGGGCCCTAAGAAATTGCTTAGTTTGCTTATGCCTAGTGCTGGCTGTGTTCTAACTCTCCACAAAAAAATCCAACTAGAAACTTTTTTGTTAAACGGCTATATTTTGGGTACTTATATCTCCGCAACTCCTAGATCTAATGACTCTTAGTTTGGGTCACTAGTCATACTCTGCACCCTCCTGAGACAAACCAATTCTAAAAGGATCTGACTAAGCATGTTGATTTTAGAGGTCTTAGAAAGGTTGACCTTTAAACAAAAGTTATGACACAACCTTAAGTATAGTGGCATTGCTGCGTCACTATACTATTGACAAAGGTACTGCTGGCCATATGGTCTATAGACTAAGGCAAAAGAGGTGGAATTCACAGATGACCTGGTCTCGGTTATGCCAGGTGTCTTATTTATTTGAATGTCTAAAATGTGCACCCCTCTGCTCACCATAGGCACAGGTACATTAAAAACACAAACAATTGTGTCTGACGGTGTCACAGGATCTCCAGGTGCCTCGGTCATTCCAGTAAGAAGCAGGAAGCTCCTGGAAAGCAGATGCTTCTCTGCATTGAGCTGTCATGGCAGAGTGAATGTTTTAAAATAAAACAAGCTAAATCCTGCTTCAGGAAAAGCAAATAGCATGTGACTCTAAATAATCCTCTGGGCTCATCCTCAACCAACCAACCACGCATTAAATGACTCAAAGTTCAACAAGTGAATGAATCCCTCCTTACCCCCCCACGTCCCATTTGGGCTCATTGGTTTGTTAGTGATGAAGCATGTGATTGGTTTAAGTCGGCTCAGGTGCTGTGGGGCTCTAGTGCAAGTTCAGATGATCCGTGTCTAAATCTGTGATTTCCTAAAGGGATTTAAAACTCCAGGAGCCAAATCAAGTTTCAGGTGGGTAGGGAAGAATGGACTCAGTCCAGACTTAATCACCAGGAAGTGCCATTTTATTGCAGAGCTTTGTGGTGTTTATATTGTCTGCAGTCCTTGTGCATTTGCTGTATCACTTGTGCAGGCTCCATTTGATCCTGAGTGATAATTTCACTGTTAGCGTTTGGCTGTGTTACCCCAGCGATAGAAACAGTGTGACCCAATTCCCTGTCAGCTCATTTGCTGGGGAACTTGGAAATGTACTTGGTCTCACTGTGGCAAAGTTACTCACAGGCGTACAGTCCCATTCACATCAGTGGAATTCCTGGTGTGGGTAACAGCTGCTTACATGAGTAGGATCATCCCCTCAATAAACCCATCAGCTGCACTACCCCAGCAAATGTGTGGTCTTGAGAAGCCAGAGAATGAGTTCCTGTGCATCATCCTGTCTTGTGTAGTAACTGTCCCAAGCCATGGAGCTGATGCTAGTGATGTGATAGGACTGGGGTTGTTATTCTGCTATGTTTTAGAAAAGAAATGTCTTTGCAGACTGGCACGTATGAATAGATGGATTATCTCTGCCTCACAGATATTTTCTCTTATGTTGGAGAGAATTGCAGGAATTGTCTAGGGTAGGCATTAGGGAACGGCATTCACACTTGAATCACCTTACTTCCCTCAGGGAACTGCTGACAAATTGGATAATAGGAAGAAAATCTAAATGAACAGCATGGATCCAACAAGACCCCCCTAACCTTCCATGCTCCGTTAGTGTGTCCTGTCCCTCAGCTCCCTGCCATATACTCTTTTATTTAAAATGTAATCTCTTTGGGGCAGGGTCCTTGTTGCAAACCTGGCTGTAAGTACCTAGCATCCATTTCTGGCTGACTGGCTTTTCTACGTTGCTTGTCACATTGATGCAAAGTAAGTAACAAGGGTAGTCCTGTGAGTCCCAGGGATACCCTGCCTCTGCGGCTCTGACCCTCCTTCTGCTGGAGCTGGGCTGTCTGGGGCTGCTTCCAAAGCCCACTGATGCCGCGATAAAACCTCCCAGCCCCAGGTGCTGAAGACACTGCCTCCCAGCCAGCCCCAGAGTTCAGGAATGAACTCTACTCCCCATGGAGCCACACCATGACACCAGCTGGCTGGAACATTCTTTGCAGGAGCACTAACTGGTTAGGATTGATTGGGTTGGCCAGGAGCCATTTTTTACTTTCATCCCATCAGTGTGCAGCAAACATTGGCTGAGGCACAAACATTTGGAGATGGGGGAGCAGTTTGTGTGTAACAGGAAACATTGGCCTTTCATTTTTGCTTTGAATTGAATGTTGCATTCCTAGGAGGAGTGAGTACTGTGATCTTAATTCCATCTCTGGTGGACAGTACTCATCTATTCATAGAACGATCTCATGATCTGGCAGGTCCTCCTATGGAGGAGGCCAAGAAAGAGTGAGCATGGAGACTGATTCTCCTTTCAGGGAAGTGGTCCCTTGCCTTTGGGCTGAGCATGCTGCTGGGAGGGTGGGGAAGGTGGTAGGAAAAGGCCTTCAGGATTGTTATTTCTGGAGTACAAACATTTTTCAAAGGCCTTGGAGAGGGTTCCTGTTAAATAAAACAAAATATTATGTTGGGACTTTCCCTCCCTGCAGCAAGTGGAATAAAGTGAGCAGTTTGCTTGGGCTTGGATTGAAGTAGTCACATGAGTGAAGCCAATAGGGAGGCTAAGCAACTCGGTCCAGACTGCAGCAGAAAGGAGCAGCTCTGAAAATAAGGACAGGTTATATCCTGGGGTGTTTTCAGCTGTCTGCCTCAGCAGTGCTCTTACCCTCTGGACACCTTGCAGGTCACCCAAATTAGATAATGATAGCCTGCTCTGTAAGGGAAACGTGCCGAGTGAGTGACCTTTCCCAAACGAGAGTCTGATATCTAGGATAGGGTAGAGGGAACATCCCAATCCTATTCCTGAAGGCTCCATCCCTTTCTTATCCTTTGGTAGCTCTTATGTAGCTTGTCAGTCAGCTGAAATGGAGAGTCTTGCCCCAGCTACACATGCCCCACTCCAGCTCGTTACTAGGTCAGTGGGACGGTCCTGAGGGAGGTAGGGGCTCCAGCAGCACTACCTGCTATGATCAATCCAAAATCTGTGATCTGATTGGTTTATGGATCTGGATTGCTTGTCAGCCAATCTCCCTTGGAACTTGGACAAAGTGTATTGCTCTAACACTGACTATAAGATGTCTTAGTACTTGTTTTTATTAGTAATGATACTTAAAACTGTAACTTTCATCTGATAATCTTACACAGCTGGGTCAGTATTCTTCTCCACATTTTACCAGTGCAGAAACTGAGGCACAGAGAGGGGAAGTGACTTGCTCAGAATTGCACGGATAGTCAGTAGGAGAGCTGGCTACAGAGCCATGGGACCCTGAGTCCCATTCCTTGGTCCTAACCAATAGATCAGGCCATATCTCTACTTAATTTATAATAGTTTTCAGAAGATAAAACTCCCTGATTCAGCCATTGAAGCTTCTGCTGCCGCCCCATACATGTGGGAAGGTGCTGGGTCAAATCCCATTATTGAATTGTGTGGGGATTGCGTCTTTCTCCTCCCCTTTTCCCTATGATGGAGCGGTATCTTCAGTCCGGAGGCCTGGGAACTACAGGGAGCAGAGATGTACCTGAAACAGGAACTTTCAACTTTAAAAAAAATTTGTAATTAAGTAACTTGAAATGAACTTCTTTAAACAAACACCTGCTTCTTTCTGCAGGATCCGCCTGCCCTCACAGAATGAGCACCCCACACACAATGTGTGTATGCCATCTCATCCTCACCACACCCCAGCCTACACACAGCCAACAATAAACACAAATAGCCTTAGTGTTTTTTTTAAATTAAAAAGCTCTTTTTCCAAGGTTTCTTTCTTATTTTCCCCAATATCCAAATCTCAAAGGAGGAAATATAGAAAATCCTAATGCAGTGCAGCTCTGCTGTTTGTAGTCTGGGATTGAACCATTTAATGGCCTGTGTGCCGTAACATAGGCCCAGATGTGTGCAGGGCTGTCAGCATACACTTTACCCCTCTGCTGGTGAGAGAGATGAGGTGTTCGGCTCCCCTGACTGACCAACATGCCTCCTCTCGTGTCTTACCCCACTCCCCCCAGTATCCATCATATCCTGCTGAGAAGCAGAAGAGCTGTCTGTGGCAGGCTCCCTTTGGCTAAGGCATATCCTGCAAGAGTGTCAGTCTGAGGCTCTTCTTCTTTCCTTCCAACCAGAGGAAGGCCCTGCGCTCCAGTCAGACCTGTCCTACTACTCTTATGAGTACGACCCTTATGCTTCTGAAGCTGACATCTTTGAGGTTGCAGCAGAGCTGACAACAGCAAGCAGCACGCTGAGAGAAGTGGACAAGATTCAGGAAGTGGTGACTACAGTAGAATGGTGAGAGAGAGATGTGAGGGGGAGGTTCTGTTTTTTTTTTAATCAAGTTCTGATATCGTATAACATGACACTGGGTCTAGAGTGAGTGTAAATAATACAGAAGGGGCATACTGATAATCACTCTGCTAATTGCCTTGGCCGAGGACCAGCTGCAGGTCAGGCTAGTATTGGGATGGCAGCTGGGACCTGCATGCCTGGAACTGTCAGTTCCTAACATAAATTGTAAATTCAAAAGGACTTTTTAAGCTTGTCCCTGCCTGGCCCCACCTCTGCTGCAGAGAGACATGAGTTGGAAATGACTTCTCTTCATTATATTCTCTCTTCAACAGAAATAAATAATTTAAAATAAAAAGAAGAGGCTCAGAATCAACTCCTGTACGAGTTTGTTCCTACAGATGACCTGCTGCAGAACAGAAACCAAATGACGACTACTTCCTGATACCCTCAGAATTGTAGGCTTTGCCTCCTCATGGGGGGCAGGAGCTCCAACGGGGTGCTCAGCATTATTTTTCTATCAATTTTCCTGCCTTTTGTGCATCCTCTTAGGAGTTATTTCAAGGATGGGAGACCAATGTGCTGCCCCAGTGTAGGCAAGGAGAACGGGCTGGAATTCAAACCCTTAGACCACTTCAAAGTATGTTACAAGGATCCTGCAACACCATTTCCGAGCTACACTGAGTCCAGACCTCTGTGCTCAGCTGAGTTGCTGTTTGAGGAGAGATGGCTGAGGAGTTTTCTTTAAAAATAATAAGAGCAGTGTATTTTAGCTCAGTATGCCACAGCAAAGGTTTAACACCCCCAGCCCACCACCCCCCTACCGCCCACTGCACCAGCAGCATGTTGCCCTGCAGAAAGGAAAGTTCATTGTTCATCAGACTTGACAGGGGGTGCATTCTCCAAAAGAAGTGAAATCATCTGTGAACTCCACAGGAGTTAAAAGCCTAACAGTCCAGGACATGGCTGCAGACTCTGCCTGGGAAGAATGCCCACAATAGAGGTGATTAGGGTCAAGTGGCTGAACTCCATTCATGCTGGAATAAGTACTGCCAAATGCAGCCTGCAGCTTCCTAGCCTTTGCCCTCTGGTTACTCTCTCCTCATAACTTCAGCATGAAAATAAAAGGGACCTGTGGCCATGGTGTTCTCAGTGCTTGCCTGATTTCACCAGCCATTTCTACTCTTCTTCCACCAGCATCCCAGTGCAATGGGTGTTCTTGATGTAGATTTCTGTGCACAGTCTGTATGGCCCTTGGGCTGCTGGGCAGGTGCAAACCCCTCCTCTTTGTCACAGAGTTTTGGCTCCTGTCTTATCAACTGCCCTAAGCAATGACAGCTGGGGTCTAAGCAATGCATTTTGCAGTGAAATGAAGAGCAAAAGCGGTCTGTTTCCCAAGTGCAGGAGCAGAGACATTTTGGGTCTCTCTTCCTGCTTTGGAGGAGTTTTGTACATCTACCTGTTGCAGAATAGTCTTAGTGTTTCCTCTCCCTGCTTCCATCCTCCCCGCGGCACAAAGTGGGGTGTCAATCCACATGGAGAGTGTTTGTTCATGAAAGGAAACAAGAAGAAGCCCAATTCAGTTCACTTTTAGGGCTTGTGTACAGAGGGAAATTGGCCAGAATGGCTACTGTGAAATAGCTCCCTTTGTGAACACTCTGTTCCAGAATAATTTGGGCACTTTGTGAGTGCACTGATTATTCCAGAATAAAGTGATTTTATTTTGGAATAGTGTCCATGCAGGGAGCTATTCCATAAAAGCTATTCTGGCCAATTTCCCCATGAGTTCCATTTTTCAAGTACTGGTTCCAGACAGACTGCTGAGCAAGAGAAAGATTCCTTAGCTGTGGTGGCTCCTAAGTTTCCAGTGTCAGTCTTTTAGGCTGGGGTTGAGTAGTTGCTTCAGCCTTCCCAAATATATGTGACATGGTGGAAAACCTGAGCTCACAGCTCAGTTCCTGAAATGCCCATAAATTCCAGATTATCTCTGCTGGCTAGTTTCAAATCACTCCTTCCCCTGCTGATCTGAACTCTTCTCTCAGGATCCTAATGTGGCCTGCCTGTGTGCATGTCCTGCTTCTCGGTAGAGATTTTGCTGTGTCTTTTTAATGTGTGTGAATGGACCACATCCTAAGTCTGCCCCACAGCACAGCGGAAGCGCCAGCTGCTCTATTCCTGCCTAGCAGGTAAACAAATGCCTTCAAACTAAATTCCATCTCTGTGCTGGCACTGCCTTCAGCAAGCAATTGTCCTGGCAAGCACTGACTATTGTGTACACATGGCAGCATAAGTCAATATTTATTCCCTGGGTAAATAACAGGCCTAGTGCAAGCTACAGTGAGAGGCATTTTTTTCTTTTAAAAACATCAGGACTTCACTGCTGTTTGCTGGCACCAGCCTCAGCACTCAGTAAGGCCTGAAGGCTTGAAGAGTGAGACATGAACTGTCACCTTAATAACATGGCTGTGATTCAGCTTCTTGGCCCTCCAGTCCTTGTGCTTGGGCAAGACTCCATGTGACTGGGGCCAGGCTCCTTGGCCTCCTGTAGCTGGGAGCTCTGATCCTCATGCCTGGCTCCAAGGTCCCCAGCTTCCCTCTCTCTCCCCTTGCTTCCTGACTTGTTGGTGTCATTGTCTCATAAGATTAACAGTGTTCTATGGTTTTTTTTTTGTTTTAGTTGATTAATTATAATTATATGCTGATTAATCCCACCCACATGATGTGCTGCCCCTGCTGGGCACCTTCTTTGGGCAGGCAGAGCTGGTGTGACCCCAGCACACAAGAGGGTAGCGATGGATGAATTCCCCCAAGCTTTGGCCAAGTACAGAGCCAGCTCCCATCACTTCCCTGGCTCTCTGTTAACTGTAAAGTAGCAGTTTAGTATTCAAAAAAGCCTCTCCGCTATTACCCACAGCAGGAGGGTGGGGTCTGCTGGCACTGCCCTTACCCACTGCCCATTACTACTTTGCCCATCACTAGAGGGGCTCTGGGTGTGGCCAGTACCCTGACCCTCATCCGGCAGGAAAGTGAACATTATCTCAGTTTTATCACTGGAGGAACAAGCACAAAGGGGTTGGGACTCCCTGAAAGTCTGTGGCAGAGCTGGGATTAAAATTCAGGTCTCTTGCTTGCAAATTCCCTGCTGTAACTACAAGCCAATGCTGCTTCCTGTATTCCAATTACTGTGCTAGGGTTCACCATTCCCTGGTACCCTTAAGGCTAGAGAGCTCTTCTAGGTTAGTAGAGACCCTATGCATCGTCTCCTGGCCAGAACACTTCTTGTGTCCTTGGCACCTGCCATCCATTTGCTTTTCCACCCCAAGGGTAGAACTTCCTTTGTTCCTAAGGACATGCTGGCAACGCTGTAGTCTGTCTCCCCCACAGCCAACTTCTTGCTGCAGTTAAACAGACTGCTTATTTAAGGAACCAAGGAAAGAAACATACAAATACAGACAAGCAGCTGCTACTTCTCCCCTTCCTCCCCCACTCCCCCAGCAATGATAAGGCAGGAAGGCCTTATACCTACAGGTAGGTTCTGCTGGGAGTAATTTTATGCGTTGGAGTCCATGTTTGCCCCAGTTGAAGACCCAACTATTGTGCACACTTGCATTCTCTCTTTCCCAGACTCACTGTCCCCATTTTCTATTATCATAATTCTCTTATCAAGGCAAATTAAATTCTTGTCTTTCCCTCCCTCATCAAAGAGCTGGTTTCAGTACATGTTCCATCTGGGAATATGTCCCCTGTAAGCCACTGGGCCCAGGGTGGGGGCTTCACACTCTAGGTCATTCACAGGCTTATACCCAGTGTCGACGCTGTGGCTTCTCAGTCACACACCTGTCTCTGAGAGGGCTAAGAGGACAGAGCACTGAGGGTCCACCCCATCTGCATTGTCAGGATCAACTCCTCAATGCTATTTGGGGGAGAAGAGAGAGATTTTTAGCCCAGAAAAAAAAACAGGGTGTGGTGGCTGAGAATGAAAGAGGGCAGACAAGCAGTGGTGTTTCCTTTGGGCTTTGGGATTTTTGCCAGTTTGGAACCATTTCTCTCGCATGCTTAGAGACAGTCTTCTCCTTTCCTCTGACAATGATTCAACATGAAGGGGAGAGAAACTCCAGTGAGTCTGTGAGATACAGAAGCGCCTGTTTATACCAAGGTACTTTGCTAATTAGACTTGATAGCTCTCTCTAGTTATCGATGATTTTGCTTGTAATCCCTCCAATGAAATTAGTATTTATATCTGTAACTGTACATGAATATTATCAGGAGCAATCATTACCATGGTATTTATTTTAAAGCAAAAGTTCTTTTGTTCTTTCTTGTCCACACATTCCTCCTTTCCCCCTTCTTGATCAGCCTCAATAGACAACAAATAGAAAAAGATTCAACCAACTTAAAAATTGAGTTGAAAACAACAGCACTTGCTTTGCTGACATTGATTCTTCAATGCACAATAATTTGGGTTTCATTATTGTGAGTAGATTGTCAATTTAGAAATACATCTCTGTCAATTTAATGTTAAAAAAAACCCTTCTGCTCAGTTTTTGTTTTCTCATGTGTGCTATTTCTGGTGGAGTGACGATAGCCCTGGTTCTTGGCCTAACTCCATCATATCTCTCCTGCGTTCAGCAGCTGGTATTTTCTCAGCATTCAGAGTATTGCACCTATAGGAAATAGGCTCTAGTTTTTCACCAAGAATATTTAAAAAACCCCACAAAACCCAGCTTTGTGATCATTTTTGTTTTCTTCGCACAAATGTTAGTATGAGTCCAGAAAAGGGGTTGTTTTAGACACTGATGAATATTTTATTAAAAACTGATTTCTAAAACAATTCTGTCTTCCTCTCCTCTCTACTAATATCTGCCTCGTAATACTACAGGGGGAGCATACTGCAGGGCTGTGGCTCTAAGCTTTCTCTAAGCTACCAGGTATACTGTTGCACAGCGCGGAGAGGGCAACAGTAATACACGTATCAGCAGAATCAAAGTATTCAACGGTTCTAAGCAGTTTCTGGTGTCCCATCCATTTCTGCTTCATTGTTTGCCAGGAGGTGCCTTCAATTTTGTTTTGAGGATACAGTGGCTGTAACTTGTCACATTTGCAACACATTCCTGAATCCAGCTGCAGGCATGGTCAGCTATTTTAGTGGGTGTGGTGGGGAGGTTGGGTCTCAACAGAGGTTACACAAAAGAAGTGTGGGATTCCAGTGTAGGAGTTTTCAATACTTCATTAATATCCTGTCTTGAAAAGACATGAAAATCCTTTTTCCTGGGCACAAGCTGGGCTCCCTTCATAACATACTAAAGAGAGGCAGTTCGCTTCAAAGAAATAAATGCTGAACAGCAGAGCATTTTGCGTAAAGGGAATGGGTGGATATTGTTTGTACATTTCTTACCAGCAGTGGGCTGAGGATTTGCAAAGTGAGAAGCACCTTATTAGAGAAGCTGACAGTTCACCTCATTCACATAGAATAATTAGCATCAAACAATGCATCTCATGTGAGGATTTCACTGCGTTTTACAAACATTAATGAATTTAGCCTTAGTATCCTCTCCATTTTACAGCTAGGGATACTGAGGTGCAAGGAGAGTAAATTACTTATTTGAGGGCACAGAGCATATCAGTGGAAGAGAGAGAGGATGGAATAGAATCCAGGAGTCCTGACTCCCACTTTCTCTCTTACTCTATAAACTCTTAATTCTGGCAAAACTCTCTACTTCCCCTAAACGTACTTATTTTTGCTGAAATAGGGATAAAGTTGACCTTGCTAGGAACAGGAGACTCTGGCATTTCCATGAATGAGGGTTTACCAAGTCAGGTAAGAAGATTCTAACTTTGCCTGCGTATGGACACATGCTGTGTGCAGAGCAACTACCTGACACGCCAGCCAAATGGTTCCGTGCACAAGATGTGTGGGCTTAGAGGCTGAGACTAGTGTGTGAGTGGCTTTAAGTTGCCCGGCCTCCCCCCCCCGGTCAGTTTGCTCGGGCAGGTTTTAATACTGGGCAAATGCATTCCCAAGCTTCCACTTTTCCCTCAAATGCTCTAGGTTCCTTCCCCCAGCAATCTCTGCTATTATATATAGAGTCGACTATGCAGCCTGCCTATAGCACCCAGTGAGCATAGTAAGGGGGCAGAGCAGCCGTATGGGAAGTCATATCTGCTGTCCCTGTTACAGGTTAGTATGCATACAGTGGTCACCATCTCAATTTGGGCTCCAAGCCTCTTAGGACTTCGTAAGGACCTGATGAATTCAGTCTTAAGAATCTGTCTCCTTCACCTCCCTGCCTGCATTAGCTTCCTACCTAGACTATACCTCAGAGCTCTAATCCGTGTCCGAACCTCAGCTCTGGAGCAAGCAGATGCGATGGGAGTGAGGGGTGCCAGCTCCTCACACCAGGGACTGTGAGTGGGAGCTCTTCTGAGGGAGAGTCTCTTTAGAGGTTTTCAGCGATGTGATGGTTCGCTTGCTGCGGCTGAAAATTCTCTGCCTCACCTTGTCTCTGAAGTCCTCAGAGACGTAGTAGTAGACGAAGGGGTCAACACAGCTGTTGAAGCTGCTGAGGGCCAGGCTCACCATGTAGCTGATGTACAAGTCCCCATAGAGCTTGAAGCAGTTGCTGGAATAGTGGACAAGGAGAAGGATGTTGCTGGGTGTGTAGAACACCACGACTGTGAGCAGCACGAGGACAGTGAGCTTCATGGCATATGCGTACCTCTCTCCACTGCCCAGCAGGATCCACAGCACCGAGCAGTGGCTAAACAGCATCACCACTAAGGGGACAAGGAAGCCGCAGACGATCAAGCACACAAAGTAGTAGTAGTAGTACTCAGCCTCCTCATGCCTGGGGAGAACATCATGACACAGAGTGATGTTTGCCTTATCCAGGGGGTAGGACTGCTGCAAGAGGGTCAAGGGCAAGGTGAAGATGGCAGTGATGAGCCAGACACTGAGGCAGGTGCAGGCAGCAAAGCCTGGGCTGCGGAAGGAGCGTGAGAAGAAAGGGTGCACTGCAGCCAGGTACCGGTCAACACTGATGCACATGAGCAGTAGCACGGAACAGTACATGTTCCCATAGAAGAAGGCAGTGGTGAGCCGGCACAGGCCCTCCCCAAAGGGCCAATGGTTCCCCAGGAAGTAATAGGAGATCTTAAAAGGTAGCACCAGCACCAGGAGCAGGTCAGCTGCAGCCAGGTTCATCAGGAAGATGGTAGAGGTCAGCTTCTCGATCCGAGTTGCTAGAACCCAAAGGGCTAGCCCATTGGCTGGCAGCCCCACCAGGAAGACAGCAGTGTAGAGGCAGGGGATGAGCCACACTGTGACTGCACTGCTCAGCTGAGAGCGGGAATCCTCATGGATGGACAGGTAGGTGACGTTGCCACGAGTCACCGTCTTTCCTGGGATGGCCCGGGGACACAGTGTGTTTGCCGATGTAATCACTTGCTCGTTGGTGCTGTTCTGGGAGTAATCTAGTGGTGCAAACGTAGTCTGTTACTGTTCATGCAGGGCCCAGCATGCTTGCACTTTGCAGGCAGGGCTGGTGACAAGGTTCCTGCCCCAATACCCCCAGGGGTTTGCATTCTAACAAGACAGTGTGCCCACCACAGAGTGCGGGGGCTGGGAAGCAGCATGGATATTATTCATTGCAAATACTCCATTGGCTGGTTCTGTAATTAGCTAGAACCCCTTAGTAAAACAAAACAAACCCCAACTAGCAAGTCTCCCTATTTCAGGGCTGAACATGACGGTCTAAGGCTGAGAGGAGGTTCTGCTGAAGTTTGCCCAGCTACTTCACAGCAGGACAACCATGCTAATGGCTAAGGTGAGTTCTGGGGTTGTGGGGAGGGAGTTTAGTTCCAATTAGAAGAGTTCCAATAATGAGTTCCAATTAGAAGAATTTAAGGTCTCTGGCTGTCATGTGACCTACCATAAGCAGAAAATGTAATTGGTGCACAAATTAACTAAACAGCAGAAGCAAAAGTGCAAAGGACAACCTCAAAAAGCAGATAAATGTATCTCATTCTGAGAAAGTTCTAGTTCCTTCCAGCAGCTCCTGTTCCTTCTCTCCAGAGCCCAGTTACTTTGATCAGCCATTGTCACAAGTCCAAGGACCCACACAATTCCTTGGAGTCATGCTGTTTCTCACAGCTCGTGATACTTCTGCACTGCCGCTCGTGTGTAGCTATTGGTTACCTGGGGATTGAGCACCACAGAGCACTGGGATCTGCCACTCAGGGGATACAGGTGACACAGATTGAGTCAGCCAGAAGTAACTCCATGGATGGCAAATTCCAGCAGTCCATATCGGGCTCTTTGGCAAAGGCAGAGATGTGTCTCTCCCAGTTGTTGATCTTTGATTTGTGCTTAGAATCCTGACCTCACCTCTGTGAAATCAAATCAGTTCCTAGTGGCAGCTGATGGTACTCTGTGCCACTGAACAGCTTTGGCTGGGGTCCAATACTAGGTTGTGAGCTCCTTGCACCGAGGCTGATGTCCATACAGCGCGTGGCCTCTACAGAGCTATTCCTGAACCTATAGCACGAGCAGTACTGCTCCACATTAAACAGGGGGGTCAGAACAAGAACAAGGGGCAGGAGCTGCTCCTCAGACAAGGCTCAAGCTCCACAACTGACTTTTGGGTTTCTCCAGTTTCTCTTTTGTTCCCCCTCTGACTATTAATTCCTCCCCACTTTTCCCTCCCTCAACAAACACCTTCAGTGTCTTCTCCTTCATTAGATTAGCACGTTTGCCCATCACTGCTGCTTTTGTCCTTTGCCTTCACAGAAAGTGCTTGCTTGGGAGCCACAGAAAGATGCCAGGGAGCAAAGGGAGTCCCCTTAATGAGCAGTAAGATTTTCACCCCGAGATGCCCACTCACTCACCATCATAGTCCGGACTTGCCAAACAGAGTCCCCAGAGGCTACACCACAGTACAAGCCTGTATGATAGAAATTCACACCAGGAGATCTCCATGCTGTGAAGGGAGCCTGTGAGGTGCTGCTCTGTTCAGAGCTGCCTGGGGAAGGCAGTATTAATAGCCCTGACTATTAATTTCCTGTTCCCGGCCCTTAACTCACGGAAACACTAGGCTGGGACTCCACTGACTTTTCCTGCAGAAAAAAGAACAAAGGATATTGAGAGCTGCCAAAACACTCCATCTGGGTCAGGCCATGTGACGGTTCTTGGGTTCCCAAGACTGAGAGTCACCTTGTTACCCCCTGCCACCAGCTTGTGCTTAGCTGGGTGTCAGTTCCTTAACACCACTTGTCTCTTAGCCACTCAAGCACACACTCCCCTGGGCTATGCCAGCCCTTACTTTGCCTTGCAGGTTAACAATAGGTCTACCTTTTGTCTAGCCCCTCATCCACTGAACACTACAGAGATACCAGTTCTGCTGTTTCTAAAGGAACTTGTAAAACTCAGCTCTGTACCAGCACTTTGGTTAACATTGCAGCATGGAGCTATATTTACTGTGAAAACAAGAATGTTTATTATCAAAGTCTAGAGATTCAGGCTATAGAGACTAAGGATATTGGAAACAAATGGTTACATTTAAAATAAAATCATAACACTTTCTAGAGACTAAACCTAAGAAACAGGTTAACCTCTTGTCTAAAGAAGTTTTATCTCACCCAAAGTTTTCTTCTAGGTTGGCTGAGATCCCATTTCTATTAATGTAAACGTGCCTTATTTACCTCCTACCTGCAGGATGAGAGGAGGGCCTCTTCTTTGCCTTCTACATATCCTCCCCCCCCCCCAAAGTTCATTGTCTTTGCACACAGACAGGATAACTACACTTGGCTTGTTTTTTGCTGCCTCCCGGTTGACGTCACATCTCTGTTGATTTGATACATAAATAGGCATTCATTGGGTTAGTTTACAATGCTTAACTTACATCCTGACAAAGAGACAGATGCATAAACATCTCTTGTGTGACAGAAATATGTTTTATACTTCGGCTGGTGACTGATACCTTGATGCATATTTTCAGTATATATACACTTCTTACATTGTATGTGTACATATATTTTACAATGAAATTAATAACCACTGTGATCCTCCCCCTTTCATTTGAGACCTCACATGACATTCTTTGGTAAACTAGAATGTACAACCAGCCTCATGAGATTCCTGTAAGTGCCTTGCCAGATGGCATTAAGGGGTTCTTGGGTCACAGCCCATGTCTGTGTCCAGTGGTTTGTCTCACTGTGCTGTGCGGTCTGAGCATAGAGTCATTTCTGATGTCAGCAAAAGGCTACAGACAGACTCATGGCTCTTGGCACTGCAGGGCCCTCTCTCATTGTCAAAGCTAAATCCTGGTTCAAATTACTCTAATTTGGGCCTGCTCCAGAATATTCCTGGAAGTGACAAGTATGGCCACCTCAGAGTCAGTTCAGAATATAAACCCATACAAACAGGATCCGATATCTCAACAGCCCCTGGCGGCTGCCTGCACCTCCCATTTTTTCTCCCAGGCCTGAAGAAAGAAGTTTACAGTCATGGCACACCAGCCATCGGGTCTCGTCTCCTCTGGATTCATGACATTTCCTGGTGGCTCAGTGTCATCCAGCACACATAGGGCCCTGCTTCAGGTAACATTTTGAAATGCATGAGGGCTGTCCCAAGAGGCAGGGCCTCGCCCTGCTCACAAACCAGCCCAGGCTGAGTGGCCACCTGGAGTTTTATTGAGGCTGCAGTCTCATTTCAGGGCAGTTGATAGTTTTCAGCATGTTCCACGTGAGACCAGCTCCCAGGCTGGTTAGCTGGCCCTGCTGTTTGTCCGGTCTGTACCTGCTCCGGGTTAAAGAAGGGATAGAATCATAGACCATCAGGGTTGGAAGGGACCTCAGGAGGCCATCTAGTCCGACCCCCTGCTCAAAGGGGAACCAATCACCAGACAGATTTTTGCACCAGATCCCTAACTGGCTCCCTTAAGGATTGAACTCACAACCCTGGGTTTAGCAGGCCAAGGGTCAAGCTACCGAGTTATCGCTCCCCCAAAGAGTAGAAGCCACCCTCTCCATCCAGCACACAGAGTGGCCAGCATAGGGCTTGAACCCGTGACCTTGGTGTTATTAGCACCACGCTCTAACCAGCTGAGCTAGCCGGCCATTGGTCTCCCTGGCTCCTTTCCTGAGTTCACTGAAGCAAGTTATTGAAAAACTGTGTGTGAACCCAATGAGCTATTTTCATTTGAGTACGACAGCTCCAGCCCAAAGTGCTGTAAAATATAAACAGCCGCAGCATGATCTCGGAGTTTGATGGAGGCGTCGTGCTTCTGCTGATAATTGTCAGGAATGCTGAACACAGCCCCACCAAAGAGGAAATGGTGTCTGTCCGACAAGGATTCACAGGATGGCTCTGTAGCTGGTGAGATAAAGCTGAATGTCAGTGACTCTCCCCTAGGAAGGAACTGTGCTTCCAGAGCCCGTTACTCAATAAACCTGCAGGGAGGCCTAAGAGCTCTTCCCTGCTAATGAATGGTCTGGAGGAACAAAAGGCTGTTACTATCTATATGATAAAAATACTATGAGGGTGACCCATTTTACAACCATTTACAGTAGCATAAGGGCCCTTTGGGGATCTGCCAGGGCACGTGACCCTGTCATTTCCCACCAGATATTCCCCAAGCTCTGACCCTCCTCTGCTACTTAGGCCTTGAGCGCTTTCACTGTTCAATACTTTAAGCCCCCTCTGTGCTCTGCCAAGTCCTTACCCCACATCTATGGGGGAGTCCCCAACCCATCCCACATCTTTCAGATAAATGCAGATCATGTCCTGACTGCTGCAAAACAAATGGCAAAATCCCCGCCCAGACTGCTTTACCCTCCCGTGAGACGGACGACAGTGAAGCAGGAGGACAGCCCAACATTAGGTGACACTGTCTTAGGAGCAGCAGTGATGGTTGGAGGCTCTTGCCCCACCACAACGCTCTTGCTTGCCTGTCTCAGCAAGGACCTAAGCACAGGAGCCGCAGTCCTGGCAGTAGGAACTGTGAATTTGGTTTGGCAATATGACTGATGGCTCATTTCTTTCTGGTTCGCTTATGAATGGCCTCTTCTGTGAAGGTTGCAAATCCGAGCCTGGCTGCTGTTTGATGAGATTCCTCTATTTCAAGGAGAAAATTATCCTATTTCCTTTGCTTTTGCCATATTCCCACATCCTTGGGCTGAGCGTGTCCAGAGGTGGCGTTCCACTGGGCAGGGAAGATGCAATGTTAGATGTTTTGCTTTTGCGATTCTCCCAGGATTTATGAACCATTACAGAATGACTCATGTGACCACATATTTTCCATGCCTCAACCAGGATCCTTTTCACGCTCTGTATGCAAAAAATTAGACATAATCAGTTTGGATAGTGTGCAACTCACAGCCCTGCTTTCTATGGCCAGGTCTCTGGGGTGGAAAGGGAGAGGTTACTTATTGTTGTATCCTTTACTTTGCAGATACTGTGGGATTGTTACTGATTGTTTAGATGCAGACCAGATTGTTTGAACATTTTAGTGACAGAGGTTTCCAAGAGATGCTAACAAGCAGTGACAGTCTTGTGATCCCTGCCTGTGGGGGGACAAAGCTGATTTTAAGGCAATTCATTGTGCAATTGATTATCTCCAGGTACAAAGAATACTCTTGCCCCAGAGATCCCAGCCTGTGGGGATACATGGGGAGAGCAGGCCAGGGATTGTAGAGCTATTGAAGAAAATTACGAAGGAGCTACCCCAGACTCAGATTTTCAAGGGTGTGGCAGATCTAATGCAGGAAAGAGAAGCCAAAAGGTTATTTCTCATCCCAAGACGCCCATTTCACGTCTCTAGGGAATGTCAGTTTGAACCATTAGATATCAAGGTAGAAACCTCAGTTCAGCTGAGCACCTGCCCTAACCTAAGATGATGGTTGTAGTCTAGATACCAGGGGCAGCTCCATGGCTTTGCAGACAAACGTGTGGATTATTTCCACTAGCATCAGCATAACCTCACATTTTCCATGAATGCGGCTCTGGCCCTGCCTTCCCCAGCCACTGAATGTCAGTCACATCCAACTTGGAACCACAAGGCACAGGAAGCCACTGCTGTGGCTAATTTATAAATAGAAATTATGGATCTTTTAACCATAAGCCTCTCATGGTGCCTCAACCAAGCTAGAGAGATGACCTGCAGCCTCTTACTGACACTCCCCTCTGACCATCTGACCAGCCTCTGCTGTGGCATTGGTCACCAGCTACAGCCACCTTCACCGCTCCTTTAACCTCCCTCCCGCAGTCCCCTGTCACTTCACACATCAGATTCCAGCTTTTCTTTCTCACCTTCAGGGCCCTCCACGACCTTCCTGCCTCCTCTCATCCCCTTCTGTTACCCCAGTTACTCATCGGGATCTCACTCCATACTCTTTCCTTATAAGCCCCCATGCTTTTCATGGTCCTTCCTCCCCTCACCACTGGCAAAACTGAAACTCTCTACCCCTTTTCTACCCCCCATGGCACATCTCTAAGTCCCTGCTCCAATTTCACTTTTGCAAGGAGCCTTATAGAGAAGGTGGTCTTGGGCATGTAAAACGTTCCCTGTGTACTACTTTGTATCAGCCTCCTTGACTGCTTAGGCCAGTGATTTACAACCTGTGATCCGCGGAACCCCAGCAGTCCGCAGACTATGTCTGAGATTTCCAAAGGGGTCTGCACCGCCATTCTAAGTAGTTAGGGCATCTGCAAATGAAAAAAGGTTGGAAACCCCTGGCTTAGGCTGTGACTCTGTGGTCTTTCCCCAGACACCCTCCCCCATCCCACACCCAATGCCCAACCTGCAGCTGCCTATTGATTGTAAATGCCTTGGGACTAGGATTCAGTCATTCTCTGCAGGGTAAAGTGCCCTGCACAGCTCTAGCGCAGAGTAACTAATAACTGATCCTAAAGCATGCATCACCCTAGAACCACGGTCCCTGTTCTGACCCAAACCCACCAGCCAGCCATTTGTCTTCACTCTGGTTTGCTGGATTTTTTCCCCAGTATTCAATAGTTTCCAAGGCCAGAAGGAACTATTGTGATCTAGTCTGAGCATCTGTATACCACAGGCCATAGATCCCCAAAATAATTCCTAGAGCCAATTGTTCAGAAAAACATCCAATCTTGATTTTTTTAACAATGTCAATGCTGTAAAATCCATCACAACCCTTGGCAAGTTGTTCTAGTAGTTAATTACGCAC